AAAATTTCTTGAATTCTTCGATAATTGAGCTGTGTCGGTACCGACTTTGTTTTGGAAATTTCACACTTCTTTTATTACTAATTTACGCCCAAAGTTGTGTTAAAATTGGCAATAAAAACGAATCTTTGGTAGCTCGTAACTTTTTAATAACATTTTATTTTACTATTCTGTTTCCGTACAGACAAATTTGATAATGAGACAAAACGATATCATGTTTAACTTTGGATGTACACTGTCAAACAGCGTAGTAAAACCCCTCCGAAATTTGTATGGAAATCAATGGAAATATTGTCGACTAGTGTCACCTTAAACACTCGCTCTACACGATGGCCATCGTTGTTGGCCAACACATTGGCCAGTATGTTGGCCAACTTAAAAATCCGCCGTTAGGGAGATCCGACTCGAGTAAACGCGAGTTAACTCGAGTCAAGCGCAACTCGAGTTGACTCGAGTAAGTTAGTTGAGTTGACCGGTTAACCTATCACTAAGCAAGATGGCCTAAAGGTCTAGATACCAGGCCATAAACTCCATAAAAAAATCACTAAGCAATAATAAGATCATAGATAAGAGTGTATATAAATAAGATAAATAACAAGAACAAGATTTTGACAATTTTTGAGTTGATCATCCGTTTAATTTTCAAATAAAATAAATTATTAAATGAATATAGACACTAATGTGTACAAATGATGATAAAAGCTTCAGTAATATAGAATTATTTTATGTGAAATCCTATTTTCACAACGTCTATTTTCTAATATGTTTTATTATAACTGAAACTTATTGACAGGATAATTGTATGTTTGTAGTATTTCGCAATAAAAAAATATTTATTAAAATAAACGTAATGAGGTAAACGTAGATGAGAGAAATATGATAACTCAATCAAGTTTACTTGTATAGTATTTAAATCATAAATTAAACATCACTCTGTGATCAAAGAAAACTAACCTCAACTATCACATAGAATCAACTAAAATGAGAGAACAAAACCGTATTCTAGTTTTATATGGTAGTCAAACATTCACGGCCCAAGAAGTAGCTGAAAGAGTTTGGAGAAAAACTAAAGCATTAGGCTTTCGTGGTCCTGTACAAGCAATGGATGATTACCCTATTTCCCTTCTAATTCATGAACATTTTGTTATATTCGTATGTTCAACCACTGGTCAAGGAGATGAACCGGACAATATGAAGAAATTCTGGAAATTTTTGCTAAGAAAAAGCTTGCCCCCAAACTCATTAATAAAACTTCACTTCGGTGTGATAGGCTTAGGTGATTCTTCATATGAAAAATTTAATTTTGCTGGTAAAAAGCTTCATAAACGTTTAAAGCAATTGGGAGCCACCCCATTGCTAGATATTGGTAAGAAGTGTACACATTTTAAATATATGTTCAATCAGTTGAAGTTGATGAAATATTATGTTCTATTTCTAATGTTTGTTTTAGGTCTCTGTGACTATCAACATGACTTAGGACATGATGCTGTGCTGACACCATGGCTTGATCAGCTTTTTACAAAACTGAAATGCTATTTTCCTAATTTACAAACCGATAATATGAATGATACCTTTATTCCAAAGTGGAAAGTTTCCATAATAAAAAAAGAAAAACAAATTAAATTAGATAGTGAGTATGAAGACATTTATTTTGCTAGGGGACAAAAAAGTTATTACTTGGAAGCTAACTTGTTAAAAGTAACAAAGAATATAAGAACCACAGAAGAAACACATTTTCAGGTAATTATCTACAATATTATAAAGCCCGCTTTTCACTATGGGATATATATTATATCTCGGGATATTAATTAATATCGCTCACCATACTTTTTAATGGAACTGTTTACACTGACATGTAATATATATTAACATACTATAAATATTTTTTCAATTGACCAAGCAATATTTTCATATTATATTTCGCCCCCTGTATCGCAGCGGTGCGGAACGGTGTACACAAGTTAAAAGATATATCTCACAGAGTCAAAGCTAATTGTGGAATATAATTTATACCTCAGGATATAATATTTTTATACGTGGTAGAGTCATGATGCAGCTATATTATGGTTGTAGCACGAATGGGTCGGCACGACCGGGGAAGGACTACACTCTCACAGAATACCAGCGTAAAATAGCAGCTTAACTCTGCTGTGTTTCGTATAGTGAGTGTAGAGAACCGGAGACCCTTTTTACGGGAAACAAGGCATTCCATCTTAATCCTCGTGGGTGTCAATGCATCTGCATTTTGATTCATTATCGAAGATAGATGTAGATGTCTATGGGCCACAGCAACCACTTACGAGCAGGTGGACTGTGTGCTCGTTTGTGACCATTATCCTATAAAAATAAAATATATATTTTATCCCATAGTGAAAAGCGAGCTTTATAAACATACATAGATAAACACACTACTACTCCAGCTGGTAGCTTACTATTAGAGTTATATCTTATCTAAATAATAGGTCACAGGTGGTAGTGGTGGCTCTGGGTAAAAATTTAATTTAGTATATGAAGATGCCCAGGGATCATTACTTATCTCCAATATGTTAATCAATTTTTTATGTAAAATTTTTCTAATGCAGAATGCATCAATTAAATAATCTAAAATAAATAATATTTGCATAGTGTTTTGGAGCACAAAAATAATGTTAATAATGTTATACAGACTAAATCTTAGTCATAGAGGCTAGTCTGGATGGAAACTAACTATCTGCACAGAATGGGATTATGGTGGACGAGTGTGTGTACAAACACCGGTGCACTCTCATAGTCTAAGGGGATGGAAATCTGACATGACCAGAATGATATCAAGAAGGGTAAAACACCACCAGCTTCCTGAAATTACGCTACTACTGAGAATTTCTTGGCAATAACCCCCAATGACTTATTGTGGCCTGAAATGGAATCCAAACCTGGGACCAGCAGCATCAGGAGTCTCACTTACGACAACAAACCCAAAGAGGAAGGCAATTCACTATACTAGCAAATATTTATAGACTATATTAAAATTTTGTAAAGATATCATAAAATTATCATAATTTTCATCAAAAATAATGATTTTCTTTATAACAAATATGATTGATTCTAAGTGGCTATTGCAGCCTATAGACAAAAAAGCCTTTCATGCAAACACACTCTCTAAAGTAACTAAATAAAACTAAAATATGCCTATATTATTTATTAAATTATAAAAAATGTTTTCTTGTAGGATGTCAGGTTAATAACATTAAAAACTATTGAAGATGCAAAGTTAAACTACAAACCAGGTGATGTTTTAAACATAAGACCAAGAAATTCCAAGGAAGATGTTGATGACCTTTTTGGTATCTTTAAAAGCCATAATATTGATTTAAAACCTTATTACAGACTGCTAGTAGAGGAATGTCATGATGGTAAGTTGAATTAGCAAATTTTTATAACATACTAGTAATTTGAATTATTGTTTACATACTTTAAGTCTCATCTTAGGCCTTTTATATGTTGTCAAGCCGAATCAAACACCTCAGTCCCCCATGACCATGGGTGCTGTATAGTGCTCGAAACGGGAATATAAAATAAGTTAATATACGCGATAAAATTCGTAAAAACTAGTTTTATCTAATAGTCAAGTCATCTTACAAGTTACTTCTTTACTGAAATTATAATAATTGTAAAAAATTCCAATTAAAATGTTGAAAATTTTAAGTCTGAATGAAATCAAAATAAAATGTATTTATCATTGTATTTTTTACATCAGCAGTCCATCCTATTTAACATTGTAAAGCTACTATTCAAATCTACCCTTGAAAGTATATAAAAAGAGAAATTATATTTCACCAAGTTAAAAAAAAAAGATAAATAAATCAATAGAAAAATTATAAAAAAATCATCAATAAAAAGAGTTATTTATTTAAATTATGTGTTATCGGAGTGAACGAGCCCTACTGTTGATTGAATTTTGATCGATAGGTAGTCACTAGTCAAATTGTTCTTCTTCTTCTTTTCTTTATGGTGGTTTTTGATTATTCGATATTCGCCAATGGTTTCAAAAGTGCAAAAATTTTTAAATTTTTTTAAAAACTGGCTTTACGGCTCTATGTTCTAGTTCTTCTGAGCCTGAAACTACAATGTAAGTATAATAATTATCATTCATAATATCCTTCACTGCTTCTCAATAAGTTGATGCGTTACATTGTGCAGCCCTTGGGAGATTTTGACGGCAACTTGAGCTAGCAGACAGCTGAGAGCTGGCGATGGTATCTCAAGGCGCTTAAGCAGACAGACACCTTATCTTAAGAATCACATCACCATCAGAGTGTATAGTATGTGGTAGAGACATGCTGCAGCTGTATTAGTAGTATAGTTGTGGCACGAATGGGTCGGCTCGACCGGGGTAGGACCACGCTCTCACAGAATACCAGCGTAAAATAGCAGCTTAACACTGCTGTGTTTCGTATAGTGAGTGTAGAGAACCAGAGACCCTTTTTACTGGAAAAGAGGCATTCCATCTTAGTCCTCACGGGTGACAAAGCGTCTACATTTTGATTCGCAAACGAGGATAGATGTAGATGTCTATGGGCCGCAGCAACCACGTACCATCAGGTAGACTGTGTGCTCGTTTGTCACCCTATCCTATAAAAAAAAGCACTTGTTTCACTGTTTCCACTAATAGTTCACATGCGCAGACATTTAATACACAAAATCGCACCACTTTTACATATCAAAATCCACTTCAAACCATTATTTAAACAATAATACAGGAGCAACAAATCGCCGCCGGTCAAATTCCCGCCAAAACCTGAAAGTTTTTCAAAATGTATTTGGCTGCATAGATTATATGTCAATGCCTATCTAAATTATTGCTACTAAAATAAAAATAAACTGTCAGTGTCAACTGACAAAGTATCTAGTCATGTCATCTGTCAAATTAACACGTGCGTTACGTTGTGGTTGTGGTTTTTATTTATCGATAATATGAATTACTTACTAAATAAGTATTATTTGGTTTATAATTAAAATACACAATGTTGCGACGACAGGCGCGTTTGCGCCGCGAGTACTTATATAGGAAATCAGTTGAGGACAAACAGAAGAGTATACAAGCGAAAAAAGATCAACTAAAACGTAGCTTAGAAGAAAACATTCCTATACACGGTGATTTGAGGAGAGAAGCCCTTGCTTTACAAAAAAGAATTGAGTTCGAGGATAAAGGCAAGTTATGATTTGACTTATAATAATTATTTATGAGCGAATGAAATTATTTTATAATTGTAACCTATAATATTTGCAATTCTCATGAATTGCTTTATCCTTTTACACATTAATAGTTTTAGTTTATAACAAATAATATAATATTAGGACCAGAAAGAGCAGCAGTCATTGGAGGTTTTAGTGGAGGTGCAAACACCCTCAGTTCCCAGGATGATGAGTATAGATATGCTGGTGTTGAGGATCCAAAAATTATGATCACTACATCTAGGGAACCTAGTGCTAGACTGAAGATGTTTGTGAAGGAACTCAGGTAGGTTATGAGTTTAAATTGTTATTCTATAAATTTTAGTTGTTTCCTTTGTTTAATTTAAAAATTTTAATTTAAATCGACCTTGTACTCATATTATTTATTACTGCTTTTACATTTTTAGGTAATCTCAAAGTTTTGAATACAGTAAGCAAATAATGAAAAGTCTTGACTCTAAGCTTTAATAATAGTTTCTCATCATACTATTAAGCTTTTTAAAATTAATGTAATTTTTTGTTTTATTAAAATAAAACGAGAAATATTTGTTAAGTACAAAATTTACATTGTGTAACTACTTACCTATAATTCTCTTCTTTCTTTTCTTTTCTATAATTTCTTACTCTGCAATATATATAAATGAAATATATATATATATATTGCAGAGTATAATAAAATATATAAGCAAAAAAATCCTCCAAGTACCATAAAAACCAAGCTAACACCATGTTCAACTTATTGTAAAACCACACACTCTCATATATATTTATATCTAAAATGATTTGCATCCAACAACAGGGTTTTAGATGAATATGTGTGCATCCAGCTTTGAATGAATATGGGTACTGCTAAAGAAAGAAAAAGTGTGAGTGAGAGCATGCCTCAAGCATAGTTCAGAGCCACTTGCAATCTATGCAATGCTCTATCTATCCTCTTATGTTGACCTGCGGTCTGTACAAACATATTCTGTTGTCAGAATAATGATCCCAGAGCAAATATTTTTTACAATACAAACATTATCTACCACTACTATTTTTTATGTTTGTCCATAAACAAATTATTTTAAAAACTAGGAATCTTCTAAAATAACTAAATCATAGACATAATCTCCTTAAATTTAAAAAAAAATTAGTCCTGTTTCTCTTTGTTGTCTGGCTTGGGCACAGTTTGACAGAAATAGGTAGTTAAAAAGTTAAAAACAAATTTCTTAAATTTCATGTACGCCAAATGTCCTCTTTAAAGACAAAATGAGAAACAAGGAAAGATGATGGATTGTTTTCCTGTCCCGTAATATTATTTTATTTTTATTTATATTTTAGATTGATATTTCCTAACAGTCAACGTATGAACCGTGGTGGTTATGAGATGTCACAACTTATTCATGCGTGCCGTGCCAATGAAGTCACAGACTTTATTGTTGTCCATGAACACAGGGGTGTACCTGACAGTCTAGTAAGTATATTGATATATATACTATATTGATTTTTTTCTTTGAGAATTTTAAGTCTGAGAAGTTCTCAATTATATACAGGGTTATTTTTGAGACTAGCCAAATTTAATAGTTAAGTTTAAAATATAAATACTGGTATACACCTTTTGCAGTTTTTAAAAATTCGTGTAAATTAAGGTTTCCACATTTATTTCAAAATATCCTAAAGTAGTAAACGTTAGATATTTATGAATGAAAGTCAGTTCAAATAATGCATTACCACATATTTTGAATTTAAGAGATAATGACAGAATGATTGAGATTTTTTTAATGAATTTTTCTTCACAATTTGCCTATATTACTTATACTGAACCTTCTCTGCAAATTTGGCTGGTAATTGCAAAATAATCCTGTATAGTATATTCTCATAATTTATGATTGTTGTTTTTGTTTAATTCCCATTTTATTTTTAGGTTTAATATTTTCATAATTTATAACGGTTGTTTTGTTGTTTTTGTTCTGCACCACTATGCTATTGAAGACATCATCTTACCTATGACTCTCCTATATTTAATTACCTAATTATTTTTAATCAATATATCCTTGTATTGCAGGTAATATGCCACCTCCCATATGGTCCAACAGCATCCTTTACACTCTCTGGTGTTGTAATGCGGCATGATATTCCGGATATAGGACCCATGAGTGAACAATACCCACATCTTATTTTCCACAATTTCAAAAGTGATTTGGGTAAGGCACTTTACTATTATACTTTTTTTATAGGATATGGTGACAAATGAGCACACAGTCCACCTGATGGTAAGTGGTTGCTGTGACCTATAGACATTGGTATCTATCCTCAATAAAGAACTAAAATGCAGATGCATTGTCACCCGTGAGGACTAAGATAGAATTCCTATTTTCCAGTAAACAGGGTCTTCTGTTCTCTACAATCACCATACGAAACACATCAGTGTTGAGCTGCTATTTTACGTTGGTATTCTGTGAGAGCGTGGTCCTTCCCCGATCGAGCCGACCCATTCGTGCTACAACTATACTACTAATATAGCTGCAGCATGGCTCCACCACATATACTATCATATTAGCCTATCAAAAGTCCACTGCTGAAGATAGACTTCTCCCATAGATTGCCTTGTAAGAGAGATATTTACCATAGTTGCTATGGTTGGCAGGTGGGTGACAACCACAGTTCTTTTTTTATTTCCTAAATGATGCTGCACACTTTAAAAATAATAATTTTTTTTCACAGGTTTGAGGACTATGAGCATATTGAAATACCTGTTCCCAGTACCAAAGCCAGACTCAAAGCGAGTCATTACCTTTGCCAATAATGATGACTACATTTGCTTCAGACAACATACATATAAAAAGGTACTTTTCTATCAAATTCTTTCTTCTGCTTAGTTATCAATGTTTGCTTTTTTTTCTAGGATAGGGTGACAAACGATCATACAGTCCACCTGATGGTAAGTGGTTGTTGTGGCCCATAGACATCTACATCTATCTTCGATTACGAATCAAAATGCAGATGCGTTGTCACCCGTGAGGACTAAGATGGAATGCCTCGTTTCCAGTAAAAAGGGGTTTCCGGTTCTCTACACTCACCATACGAAACACGCAGCGTTAAGCTGCTATTTTACGCTGGTATTCTGTGAGAGCGTGGTCCTTCCCCGGACAAGCCGACCATTTGTGCTACAACTATACTACTAATACAGCTGCAGCATGGCTCTACCATGTAAAAAGTCCATAGACTAGAATGGGTAACTCTCAACATTTGTTTGGTTACACTATACTATGTCATCTTTGACTGAATAATCTAGAATAATCATGAGGTTCCAGGTTCGAATCTCAGATCAGACCAAAATCAGTTACTGGATCAGGAAGTTGTTAGTGTTTCAACCCCATTCCCGAGAAAGCACGTGAAGCCTGCTCTGATGTCCTGCGCATGGACTCTCTCCAATTGTGTTGGATTGCCTTCCTATTGAACTGTGAGAGTGAGGTAATAGAGTGCATGTGTGTTTGCGTACACACCTGTACACTACAACTCTATCCAGTGGAGATGGCTAGTCTCCAGTGATACTGGCCACCAAGATCGGAGAAGAAATTCGGACATTATTATATCTCCTCTGCAGTTTTATTTGGTAATTGGCACTTGATCTAAATTACCAAAGAGAAGAACCTAAATTTGTTCTGGGAATTATACTTCTTCAACATGATCGAATTACTGGCCCCTGGGCCATCCAAATGGTCAAACAATCATAATTTTGCATGTTTCCTTATTTCAGGCGGGTAAAGACATTGAGCTGACAGAAATAGGGCCCCGCTTCCAAATGAAACTGTACGAAATAAAGTTGGGTACTCTAGAAGCTCTGGACGCGGCTGATACTGAATGGGCGCTACGCCCCTACATGAACACAGCCGCGAAACGTAGATTTCTAAGTGATGAAGACGGATGGCAGGAGGAGGAATAAATTAATTTTTATAATTTATTTTTTATTTACTTCCAAATTCCAATTTACAACACTTTTTTAGTCAGCAAAATGGTACGCTCATTTTATTTATTAAGGACTAGCAATCCGCCCCGGCTTTGCCTGGGTAAGATCTATTAATTTCGCGATATGAGACGTAAAATATATAGCCTAGGTAATTCCAGGTATTGCTCTCTATCTGTTCCTGAAATTTTATTAGTTCAGCCATTTTGAAGAATAGCCCAGCCCAGAGAGATAGAGAGAATTTTTTTTTTATAAAATGGTTATGTTTTGATGGCATGCTATAACTCTCTCAGCTCAATATTAGGCATTCATTTCAATATTACAGATATACACCTCAATTGTATGTATATGTATAGATGCACTCTGTCGCTGCCGGGAACAAAGTCAATGGTGCCCTGACTGCGTAAGTCAAAAGGCAAGGCGTAGTGAAGGGTGCACGCCTTGCAATACATAACGCAGTGTTGGTACCGACTTTGTTATATGGCAGCGAAACCTGGGTATGCCAGAAGAAGCATAAAAGCAAGTTGAATGCAGTGGAGATGCGATCTCTTCGTAAAATGTGCGGCGTTACCATGGCCGACCGAAAGCGAAACGAAGAGATTCGCAATATGGCAGGTTTGAAAAATGACCTTATCACAAAAATTGATAAGGGCGTGCTTCGATGGTTTGGGCACGTTGAGCGAATGAGTAAAGACCGAATGGTGAAGAAAATATATAGCGCGAAAGTAAATATTAAAAGGTGTCGAGGTAGACCGAGACTAACTTTCGAATACCATGTGAGCAAATTGCTCGAAGAGGGGAGGGTCAAGAGTACTCGGATACCTAGACGTGCATTTATGAAGAAGATAATGAATCTGAAAGAAGCGAAAGAGGTATGTAAGGATCGTGACACTTGGCGATCTGTGCTCTCTGGCTACCCCGTCAGGGATTGTGCGTGAAGATAAGTTTAAGGTTTTATGTATAGATGCATTAATTACCAACTTGGTTGATACACTGCAGACATGTTATGCAAGCAACAGGAAAAAAGGCATATTATGTTACCTTATTTAAACGTAAACACAGAAGGCTTGTAGAAACAGTTTCGTTCGCTTTGTTTAAAACATAAAACTATTATTATTCTAATATGAACTATAACTTCTATAAAGTCACAGCCTCTATCATAGATGTTTTTCTTTAAGGTACATCACATAGAAAGTAGCAATTTGGCATAGCTATAAAATCCGTTTACCAAAAAAACAGATGTGCAGTCGGAAATTAGTATTTCAGATCGACTTAAGAGTAGTTTGATTGAAAAAAAAAGAAACATGGAAAATCAAATTAGTATAGATGTTACATCTCCCAAATACTACAAACATTACTGTGCTACTTACTTAGCAAGAGACACATTAATTATTTGATTACATCACTGCGAACATCTTTTCTCCCTTTGCCAGTTCTGACGGTATTCGATAATGATTTTTGAGTTCGAGAGAGATTACGCACACTAATACAATGTGCATATGTATTTACACTACAAGACCAATTTGGCATTACTGGCATTAACGGTCCCAGGCAATGGCTTTCCAAGCCACACCACTAGGGCACATGATGTAGCGTGAGTTGGGATTTTCAATAATAATTGTTTACAATAACTCAAATTCAAAATTTAAAAACCCTCGAAAAAGAACTAGCTGATTACCTTTGAACCGATTTTGATAAAACATGTCTAAAAACTACCACTAGAAAACCTGATTTTAAATAAACAAACCGTACCCAAATCGGTTCACCCGTTTAAGAACTACGGTACCACAGACAGATACACACACATGGCGGTCAAACTTCTAACATCCCTCTTTTTGCGTCGGGGGTTAAAAATATGGTCCACAGACTAACTAGTAGATTCATACGGTCTTGTCCAAGAAATAAAAGAACAAAAATTATTTTCTGTTTCTTAGCAACACGCTGTCACAACCTAAGAACATACAGTCAGTCATCGCGATTGATGTTGTCGGAAAAGCCGACATAAACCATAAATTGCTAGGGTTGTCAGAACGGGACGTATTAAAAAATAACTGATTTTATTTTATTTCACGTTTAAACAAATTAATAAGTATGTGGAAACTGATGAAACTAATTCCTTATCTTTAAATAAGGACGATCCACAGTTTTTACCGCACATGTAGTGTGTACCGTTTTAATTTATTTGCGTGACAGGACAACCCTAGCGGACAGTTCCCGAGCTACCAACAGCGTAACAGCCGCTCGGGAACTGTCCGCCCGCGACTCGCCCCGCACCGCATCGCACGATTGCCCCGTCTAGACGCCTTCGATGACCGACTGTTAGTAGTAGTTAGACTGTGACGTTGTTATTTTCTCGCTTCCATTTTGATGTTTCTATTTAAAGGATATAAAAGTAAAAGTTAAGTTACAGCCCACTGCTGGGCACAGGCCTCCTATCATTTCTGAGAGGGTTTTAGGGCAAGGAAATGTCCGCCGCGCTGCCCCAATGCGTGTTTGCGATCTTCACATGTCATCGAAATATTTTTTTTATTTCTCAGACATACAGGTTTCCTTACGATGTTTTCCTTCATCACCGAGCACGTGGTAAATGTGCAAAGGAAGCACGTGTAATGTAAAGGTTGTGCTATCTATTTAATAATATATTTACCCAGTTCCTATTATTTGAACTGTGAAACAAAACGTAAAACAAACATCCCTTTAATTTTATTGTTAATTAAATCACATGCTCTATTGTAAAGGAAAGCATTGTGAGGAAAACTACCTGTCTAAGTTATCGGAGACATTTTTTTTTTATAGGATAGGGTGACAAACGAGCACACAGTCCACATGATGGTAAGTGGTTACTGTGGCCCATAGACATCTACATCCATCCTCGATTACGAATCAAAATTCAAATGCGTTGTCACCCGTGAGGACTAAGATGGAATGCCTCGTTTCCAGTAAAAAAGGTCTCCGGTTCTCTACACTCACCATACGAAACACAGCAGTGTTAAGCTGCTATTGTACGCTGGTATTCTGTGAGAGCGTGGTCCTTCCCCGGTCGAGCCGACCCATTCGTGCTACAACTATACTACTAATATAGCTGCAGCATGGCTCTACCACGTACAAAAAGACATCCAAAGTCTTACAACTTTAACTTGCAACTTTAACATCACGTCGGATTAACTGCTCCACACCCCTCAGAAAAGAGACGAGACTTGTGAACATATAGACTGTAACGTTAACTTAATGCACATATAATATATGATTACCATGTCGTGACTCCCATCTAATGGTGGGCCGCCCTAGAATGCCTACAGGTACGGGGCTGCCGACCGGTAATCTTTCTTCCCCATCGGTTGTCGGTTCGTTTCTTCGAACTATATAGCCGGCCCGTTGCCACTTCAGCTCAATAATCAGTTGGGCTATGTCGGTTGCTCTGGTTCTACTGCGGATATGTCCATTTTTATCCTGGCAAGACATGCAGGAAGTCGATGGATGCAGGTGACTCAAGACCGTGCTTTGTGGCATTCCTTGGAGAATCCCATGTTAAGCAGTGGACTTGTAAAGGGCTGTATGATGATGATATATTATTACTATATTCATTTATTTTAGATATGCCTGTACCAGACTTTCTGGAGGAGCCCCTAACCCTTTACGAGATCGCCGAACAGTATTGGGACTTAAAAGCGTATCCGACACAGTATGTGTTTTCTCTTCTAGCGTCGATATCGCAAGATAAGTTAGAGAGGGATAAATGTATAGAACTCGGTTCGCCTGGAGGACAGGAGGAGTGGTTAAATTATTGTAGACGACCCAAAAGGACTATTTTAGAAGTAAGTTACGAATAAAAGAGTAGGATAGTTTGTTTTTATTAAAAAATATAGTAAAATTTATAATATTTATCATACATTATAAGGCATTGTTTGACTACTATTCCATCTATTCACTCTTGTCTTGAAGACATCATTGTAATCGGATGAAAAGACAGAAGCTGTCAAATTATTCCGCACAGCAAACCGACATGTTGTCAGTTGGTGGAAGTAGTAGGGAGGAATTAAGTTATGCACTTCCCTTTTTTATAGGATAAGGGTGACAAACGAGCACACAGTCCACCTGATGGTTAGTGGTTGCTGTGGCCCATAGACATCTATATCTATCTTCGATTACGAATCAAAATGCAGATGCGTTGTCACCCGTGAGGACTAAGGTTGAATGCCTCGTTTCCAGTAAAAAGGGTATCCGGTTCTCTACACTCAGTATACGAAACAGCAGCGTTAAGCAATTCCTTTTTTTTATAGGATAAGGGTGACAAACGAGCACATAGTCCACCTGATGGTTAGGCAGACAGACATCTACATTTATCCTCAATTATGAATCAAAATGCAGATGCGTTTCACTCCTGAGGACTAAGATGGATTGCCTCTTTTCCAGAAAAAGGGGTCTCCGCTTCTCTATGCTCCCCATACGAAACACCGCAGCATTAAGTTGCTATTTTACGCTGGTATTATGTAAGAGCGTGATCCTTCCCCAGTCGAGCCGACCCATTCCTGCTACAACTAAGATAGCTGCAACATGGCTCTACCACGTAAAAACCTTATGATATAACCTTCCTGCGTACACTCTCTTAAATATATCATGCAGAAGCGTAGAAACAATGGTAAGATTATTAAGATATACCAACTGATTCGTATGGTCAGTGTAGAAACCCTTTTTACTGGCAACGTGACATTACATCTTACTTCTCAGGGGTAACAAAGCATGCGCATTTTGATTCATCATCGAGCCACACCCACTTACCATTATGTTGACTATGCGCTCTTTTTGACTGTATCCTAGGTCTGGTGATCGTAAAGGCAATTGGTGATCATAAAGTCTCGGGTTCGGACCTCGGCTCGGGCCAAAGTTTTGGATTTTCTCAAGAAATTATCAGTAGTAATCCGGAGTCAGGAAGCTGGCGATGTCTCAACCCCGTGCCTCGGCAAGCACGTAAAGCCGTTGGTCATGCGCCTGATCTCTGTCCGGTGGTGTCGGTTTACCGTCCCATCGGACTATGAGAGTGAGGGAATAGAGAGTGCATCTGTGCTTGCGCATACACTCGTGCACTATAATCCTGTCCTGCGCCGATGGCTAGTCTCCGTTGAGACCGGCCGCGCTAACGTCTGATGAAATTATCATTTTGCGCTCGTTTGTCACCCTTTAGAAAAACGAAACTGTTGAAAGTTTGTTGTTGCGTGTTTCGCCTCCTGCTAGGGCACATTTACTACGTTTTTATTTGTCTTAAAGAATTTTAGGGACGTTATTTATTCGACTGAAATTTCAGGTTCTGCACGATTTTCACAAAACTGCTTCAAAGCTAACCATAGAGATTTTATTCGAGCTATTCTCCACCATAAAGCCGCGATCATTTTCCATCGCGAGTAGCGCTATACCGTCAGATGGTCGCTCACTCGACCTTTTAGTAGCTGTTGTGAAATACAATACAAAACTTAAGAAGCCGCGGCTTGGCTTGGCGTCAAATTGGCTCAAGGATTTAAATGTTGGGAATAATGTCTACGGATGGATTAAAAATGGCACTTTCACATTTCCAGATGACAAGGTGAGATCAAATATATTTGTTTATTTTTATTTATTTCTTTTGGTAAACAGATATATAATAATTATAAGGTACATTAATGTTAATATAAAAACTACTTAACTATATATCCAACACCATCAGCACTAAATACAATTGTTAGTATTTTTGAAGCTGCTACTTAATGTGTCTGGTCTTATTGTAACCGGAGACACTAATCGGAATACCTCATCACTTAGTCCTCAGGGGTGATAATGCATCTGCATTTTCATTGCTAATCGACTGCCCTAAAATTGACTGGCAGAGAATGTTTTTAGCATTAAGTCCGCCTTTTGATCCTGTACTTAATATATAAGGTTCTAAAAAGTTTAAACGAACGCATATCGTGTCAAAATTCACGATACCATCCTCACCATCTGGATGCTTGGCGGTCCACGACTGTGCGTTTTACTAGTTTTCTTCCTCGTACAACTTCTCTGTGGAAATGTTTACCACCGGCGATTTTTCCAGACCGATACGACTTAGGGACCTTCAAGAAAAGAGCTTACACCTTTCTAAAAGGCCGGCAACGCATCTGCGATTCCCCCGGTGTTGCGGTTGTTCATGGGTGGCGGTAGTCACTTACCATCACCACCAACTACGCGTACTCGCGCTCGTCTGTGTGCGATTCAAAACGTTTTTACCAACCGATCGACCCTTACGAATGTGTGCGTGCGTAGTAAAATAGTAGGCGTTAGATATTTATGAATGACAATCAGTTAAAATAATGCATTACCACGCATTCTGAATTTAAAAGATAATAAATAATTAATCATCATAACTAGAACGGAAATATGTTGTGTTAAGCATAGTTGTACATCCATCTTTTTTAGTAGATTTAATCGATAAAAGCGGTAAAATTGAAAACTTTGTGAGCCGCATGCTCGTTTGCCCTCTTTTCTATAAAAAAAAGAACTACTAGCCACAGCGAACGAGGAACGAGAGGGCAGATCTCATTGCATACCTCAAGGAAACTACAAAGTAATATTGAAACAATTAGGGGAAATAACCATTAAATGAGATGGAAGTTCCATTTATAATGGAAATTGTTTCTCATTTTTAGGCCAATCAGTATCATTAATATTTATTGTATTATATTATGTTTGTATGACGAAGCTATAGAAAATATTAGTTTACAAAATGTTCATTTTTAATCCCATCAGTGAGTGTACAAGTTAATTGTATGCATAGATAATATCAATGCTTAGCGTTATAATGTTGTGAACATTTTTTAATGTTATTAAATTATTATTAGACATCATACATTTACCATCAGATAGACTGTGCTCACTTAATTCCTTTACTTGTATTAAAAAAGTAATAATCTATAAATTATCCATTACTTAACATGTTATCTCATCATATATTTATTTATAGTCATATTATTTAGCCGTGTAGTGGCGGTCAAGAATATCCACTACCCCATATCCTCCCGTGGGTGTCGTAAAAGGCGACAAAGGGAAACAGGCAGGAGGTGGGCAGCAGCATCTTCCTGATAATAGCCAAATTACAATAAAAAAACTGCGGTTGCCAACCCGCTCGCCAAGCGTGGCAACTATGGCAAATACCCCCCTATGAATGACAGTAAGAAAGAAACGGCCCCCAGTCCCCGGCGGCCCCGCTATTCCTGGCTACGGTGGCGACCATGGTAACGGCGGGGCAGGGGGTGCTAAGAATCTCCGGTGGAGGTTCGGTTGCCACCTTAGACGACTCGACCTGGCAACGTACAACGCACGCACCCTGAGGACTGACGAGAAGATCGTGGAGCTGGAAGAAGAGATAGACAAGTTGCGCTGGCATATTATAGGATTATCCGAAGTCCGAAGAGAGGGGGAGGACACGGTAATCCTCGAATCCGGCAACTTGCTCTATCACCGGGAGGGCGACCATCTGTCCCAAGGAGGTGTCGGATTTATCGTCCACAAGTCTCTCGTTAACAACGTTGTAAAGATCGGGAGTGTGTCGACGAGGACCTTATACTCAGAATCACCAAACGGTATTCGCTGAAGGTCATACAGGTTTACGCACCAACCTCGGCACACCCCGATGAGGAGGTGGAGGAAATGTATGAGGATATCTCTAGAGCCATGCATTCCTCCAAAACCCAATATACGGTGTTAATGGGAGACTTCAATGCAAAACTAGGCACAAGAGAGAACGGTGAGCTGAAAGTAGGGAAATTTGGAATAGGGCAACGGAACCCAAGGGGCCAGCAGCTGGCCGACTTCATGGAGAAAGAGGGACTCTTTATGATGAACTCTTTCTTCCAGAAGCGGCCCCACAGGAAGTGGACCTGGTCGAGCCCCGACGGTTCCACAAAAAATGAGATTGACTTCATTATGACGACCAGACGACAGCTGTTCAGTGATGTCTCCGTGATCGCGAGGGTGAAAACTGGTAGCGATCACCGAATGGTTAGAGGCACACTGAACCTAAACGTTAAGTTGGAGAGGTCTCGTCTAATGAAGTCAACGCTCCGTCCCCCTCGTGCTCTGTTCCAAAGTCCCGAAACCTTTCAGCTCGAGTTACAAAACCGTTTTCAGTGCCTGGAAGACTGCAATGAAGTGGACGATATGAATGACAAGCTCGTGGAAACTGTCCATGCGGTCGGAGCTAAGTTCTGCAAGACCCGCCGCAGAAGAACACAAAAACTCTCCGATCACACTCTTAATCTCATGGCTGTTAGACGGGAGATGAAGCTACATTCTTCAACAGACTTGACAGCATACAGGCATCTGAACAGACAGATCTCCAAATGCATGCGGCGGGACTTACGCAACTTCAATACAGCTCGTATTGAAAAAGCGATCGAGCGGAACCAAGGCTCCAAAGTCTTTGCCAGAGATCTGTCTGCCAGAAAGAGCCAACTGTCAAAGCTGAAGACAGAATGTGGCAGCATCGTTTCCGGGACACCTGAGATTTTGAGTGAGATTGAGAGGTTCTATGGGCAGCTGTACACATCATCGTTGGAGCCACACGCAAGTGTGAGTAACGATCCAAGAGCGAGTCTCATCCGACACTATTCCGAAGATATCCCGGATGTCAGTCTGAGCGAGATTAGGATGGCTCTCCAGCACCTTAAAAACGGTAAGGCCCCAGGCGAGGATGGAATTACAGCGGAGCTTCTGAAAGCGGGTGGAAGACCGGTACTTGAAGTCCTTCAGAAGCTCTTTAATTCTGTCCTCCATGGTGGCATTACACCGGAGGCGTGGAGCAGAAGTGCGGTGGTCTTGTTCTTCAAGAAAGGTGATAACGCTCTCTTGAAGAACTACAGACCGATTTCCCTTCTGAGCCGCGTCTACGTGCTGTTTTCGAGAGTCATTACGAATCGTCTCGCGCGCAGACTTGACGACTTCCAACCTCCCGAACAAGCCGGTTTCCGAAAGGGCTTTAGCACCATAGACCACATACATACCCTTCGGCAAGTTGTACAGAAGTCCGAAGAGTACAATTTGCCACTATGTCTGGCGTATGTGGACTATGAGAAAGCCTTTGATTCCGTCGAAATTTGGGCGGTGCTGCAGTCCCTTCAGCGGTGCCAAGTTGACTGTCGGTATATCGAAGTGTTGAAGTGCTTGTACAGTAGGGCTACGATGGCTATCCGAGTACAGAACCAGAATACGAAACCTATCCAATTGCAGAGAGGTGTAAGACAGGGTGACGTCATATCCCCGAAACTCTTCACCGCTGCATTGGAAGACGTTTTCAAGCTTCTGGACTGGAAAGGATACGGTATCAACATCAATGGCGAGTACATCACTCACCTTCGATTTGCCGACGATATAGTCCTTATGGCAGAATCGCTGGAGGACCTAAGCACTATGCTCAATGACCTCAATAGTGTTTCCCAACGGATAGGTCTTAAGATGAACATGGACAAAACAAAGATCGTGTTTAATGTCCATGTCACACCTATGCCGGTAGTTGTTGGGAGCACTAAGCTCGAAGTTGTTGACGAGTATGTTTACCTGGGACAAATAGTCCGACTAGGTAAGTCCAACTTCGACCGAGAGGTCAATCGACGGATTCAACTCGGCTGGGCAGCGTTCGGGAAGCTACGACACATCTTCTCGTCAGACATACCTCAAAACCTTAAAACGAAATTGTACAACCAGTGCGTGTTGCCAGTGATGACTTACGGAACTGAGACGTGGTCCTTCACTGCTGGCCGTATGAGGAAGCTCAAGGTCGCTCAGCGAGCTATGGAGAGGGCTATGCTCGGAGTTTCTCTGCGTGATAAACTTAGGAATGAGGATATCCGCAGTAGAACCAGAGTGACCGACATAGCCCAACGGATTAGTAAGCTGAAGTGGCAGTGGGCCGGCCATATAGCTCGAAGAACCGACAACCGATGGGGAAGAAAGGTTCTCGAGTGGCAGCCTCGTACCGGTAGGCGAAGTGTAGGGCGTCCCCCCACGAGATGGAGTGACGACCTGGTAAGACATGCAGGAAGTCGATGGATGCAGGTGGCTCAGGACCGTGCTTTGTGGCATTCTTTGGGGGAGGCCTATGTTCAGCAGTGGACTTGTGAAGGGCTGTAATGATGATGAATGATTTAGCCCCAGTAGCGTAGCTTTGGCAGCTGCCGCCTGGGATCGCTAAAGCCAATAATGCCACACCTCATTTCTACTCCCCCGCCCCTCCCTCCCCCCGTTTTATACCTATAAATACACAAAATGAGAGACAAAAAATATCCAGGCCAGCGACATAAATCATTGTCAAAGCTTTCGACCAGTTTTTTTTTTGAACGCGATCAGTAACTTCCGTAATTTCAGAATACAGTTTACGAACATTTATTCACAAACTTAGCCTCTTCATAATATTACTGTATATTACGAGAGTTCCCTGTAGTTACTTAAAACATTTAGTAACAACATTATTGACATGCATTCTTCAACCGGGGAGACATTTGTCCCACTGTTGGGCACAGGTCTCGTTGAATTTGTAAATAGTAGGAACAGACACAAGTTAATAGTACCTGTTACTCGACTCCACCGAGTCAGTAATTCATTCTTGGGACGATGTATAGGCTTTTACAACAAAATCCCAGAGTTTCTCAAAGTTCAAAAACGAATTAAATTAAGTTTGTATTAAGTGTTATTATAATATTAAGGAATTTATGGATGATAATCCCTGGGAATGAAGTGATCGCTACCAGGCTATTTCTAATTTGTTTTGTGTTGTTAATTGTGTAACAATAACATACACGATTGTAAGATGTTATTTTAAAGGAAAAAGTCCAGGACAGAGGTATTTTTTTCGAACCAGTGGTAATTTAAACATAAAAGTGACTTTCAATAAGTATTATTTATAATCAACATTGAATAAAAAAGTTTCTGTTTCTTTCTGAAAGGAATTAACGCTGCTCCCGTGCGTTGGTGGACTACACATGTCCTTGAATATTCTTCGGGTATGCAGATTTCCTCACGATGTCCTTCACCACAGAGCGTGTAGTTAATTATTATATTCTATCAACAACTTCATTGGCGGTGCTGGGGATTGAACTGAAATTGCTTGTTGCCTCATAGGGGGGATATTTGCCTTAGCTGCCACGGGTTGGCTACCACGGTTGTTTTATTTTTTGTCGTTATTAGGAAGACGCTGCTGCCCATCTTCATTTGATTCCCTTTGTCGTCTCCTGCGACACCGACGGGATAATATGGGGTAGTGGATATTCTTACATCGCCGCTACATGGTAATCTTATAACTACTTAACTGCGTCCTTTTTCCAGAATATTCCCCATATCCTGATTGGTCCTGGTACAGGGTTAGCACCATTCAGAAGTCTCCTGCAGGAGAGAATAGCGCGAGATGCTGCGTCGAGCAATAGCTTCCATCTGTTCTTCGGTTGCCGATACAAAGACAGAGATTTCCATTGCAAGGAGGAATTGGAAAAGATGGTAAATGATGGGAAATTGACGCTGTATTGCGCTTTCTCTCGGGACCAGGAGAACAAAATGTAAGTATGACAGATGTTCGCAATGTTTTTAATATAACGATTGCAACGGCTTATTGACTTTCCATGATGTTGTATATAATAAGTCCGATGTTATATACTATCCTTCAAGAATGAGCCGATTTATTTTAAAAGGCCGGCAACGCACCTGCAATTCCCTTAGGATTGCAGTTGCTCGTGGGCAGTGTTGCCAGTGATGGATCTGAGACGTAGTCAGAACTAAGACGCTCAGCGAGCGATGAAGAGGGCTATGCTCGCAGTTTATCTGCGTGATAGGCGTAAAACGAGGATATCCGCGGTAGAACCAGAGTAAACGACATAGCCCAACGGATTAGTAAGCTGAAGTGGCAGTGGGCCGGCCATATAGTTCGAAGAACCGACAACCGATGGGGAAGCAAGGTTCTCGTGCAGCAGTCTCGTACCGGTAGTCTTAAGTGTAGGCCGTCCCCCCACTAGATGGAGTGACGACCTGGTAAGAATTGCAGGAAGTCAATGGATGCAGGTGGCTCGGGACCGTGCTTTGTGGCGTTCCTTGGGAGAGGATTATGTTCAGCAGTGGACTTGTGAAGTCTCTTAAGGCGCAGGTTGAGCAAAATGTCGCGCTAGTCGTTATTTGTGCGGTTTTTAGAAGCTATCTACTTTTTATTTAAAAGATATATCAACAAATAAAAAACACATTATATTTCTACATAATCTTGATTCCATAAAAGCTATATCCAATTTTTTTTAAACGAATAAATATTAATATAATCTCCTTACAACGAAACCACATAAATGTGAAATTATTATTGATAACATGGATCTCCTCGTAAAGTAAGTATTATTTTATTTTGCGATTTACACCAATGGATAGACAATTTATTAATAAACATTTCTATAGTAAATTTTTTTCAAAAGACCAAAATTTGATTTTATTAAGAAATTATTTTAAAATCTGGGCATATTCACTGCTCACGGGCTTGCTGGAGTCAGTGAGCCCTGAGCTCTTCGACGCGAAGCCCGTGTAGTTAGAGCGTCGACCAGCGCCGCATACACTCACGTAATATCAGTCGATAAATAATATTACTTATTAGGTTATTTATAGGTAGTATTATTTGTTTGTTTTGGGTATAATTTTTCGTATTAGTTATACATATATTTGTTGTGTTTTTTACTGCGCGATGAAGCTTTTTGCGTGTATTTTCTTTGAAGTAAATGCAAATAAAAAAATGAAGCACCATTGGCATGTAAGGTTCGAAGCCATAATTAAAATTTCGATAAATATTATAATTTACACTATAAAAGGCTAATTCAATATTATCACCCAACCACAATATCTTATTATGTACAGTACTGCCTCGTTGGTCTAGTGGTTGTAGTAGTGCGACTGCTGATCATTAGGTCCCGGGTTCGAATCCTGGGTCGGGCCCTGTCAGTTATGAGTTTTTCATTTATGTTCTAAGTTATAATTAGTATTACTAAGTTATAGTTTTTTGCTAAAATATAGTATATTATTTATTGCTTCTTTTTTCTTCTTTTTCAAAAAATAATTGAGTACATAAGGTGTTCTATACTTATAATTCGGTAAAAAGTATCTAAGTAGGTACTAATATACCTACTTTTTACTACTAAAAATTTTTAAAACTAAATTTAACTAAAAAGACTAAACTGACCATTTATTTTTTAACTCAAAACAGGACATGGGTTTATTTATACTCTAAAAACTATAACTTTATACAATTAGTGTTCACTGTAAAATTATATTCGGTATAGACGGTAATTATTAAATGCAACATATTTTTCTTAATTATTAATTACATTTGTCAGTGGATTAAATTTTGTTTAATAAAGTTGGTGATGATTTTAAATAAAAATAAAATTCTGCTCAAGTTTTTTTATTGTTATCTTTGTTAACAACATCGCCTTTAGAACTCTGGAACCGTAAGTGTTTCTTTCAGACGTCCACAATTTATTCAAAATAAAAAAAATACTCTTTCTACCGGAGCATTCGTACCAGGTAAACATAAAATATATTCGATTAAAAAAAATTATGTTGAAGATTGTTGACTTTGAATACTTCCATCCAACGAGTTACGGGACAATTTTGTGTCCCGGAGCTTTGTTTGGGGACAATGGGACAGGTGACCGAGAAAAGGGACAGTCCCGTTCAAAACGGGACGTGTGGTCACTTTAGCTATAACCCGGCGACGGCTCCGTGGGGCAGTGACTTAGCAATTAGTTGTTGCGCTGGGGGCCGCGGGTTCGAATCCCGCACGGAACAAGTATTTGTATGGCTTACAAATAATTGTTCCGGGTCTGGATGTTTGTCCTTGTGCAATTTATGTTTGTAAACTGCCTCCACGACACAGGAGAAAATCCTAGTGTGGGGGTAACGTTTTTTTACAATTGAAATTGAAAGATTGAACCCTTATACTTCTTGTTGATTTTTGTATTAGTAGTTAGGTATATTACTTTTCAATAAGTGACACGTAAAAATTAACAATAATCAAAAACACATCTACGAAACATCCTATTTATTTATTTATTCTTTATTGCACCAAATATTTGTACAAAAGGCGAGCTATCTATTTATTTACCTATAGTGAATAGGTATCTTTTAAACTCACAATTTTCAATGCTTCATTTTTAATATATAATTAATTATAAAATTTCATAATTAGATAATATATGAAAATACATAATTCTAATATAATGCAACTTATATACCGAATAAAAAAATTAAAATACATTTATCGTTGTACGCTGCTGTGTGTATTTCCATAAATTAGTTCATTGATGTTGAAAAAATAATACTACGTTCGTACCTACAATGGGTGGTGGTGTCGTACATATTTCAAATAAGCAATATATTGAGGCGAGCGGCGTGCCGCCGGCAAAATGCTCAAGGTCGTTCGCATGGAGTAGCCCCTTAATATCAGGTGTTTACCTCTCTACTATAGAAAAATTAAAAAGATTTGAGAGATTAAATATTAACTTACATTTATTTTTTCTGATCCGTTTGATCTGTTAGTTTAGTCCTATATATTATTTTCTGCCGACTTCCAAAAAGGAGACGGTACTCAATTCGACGCGTATGTTTTTTTTATGTGTGTTACCTCATAACTTTTTACTGGGTGAACCGATTTCGATGATTCTTTTTTTTATATGGAAGCTGATACTTCTCGTGTGGTCTCATATGAATTTGATCAAGGTCAGACCAATAGTATTTGAGTTATTTGAGTTATTCTTAATATTGAAGTCGGCTGTACAAAATTTTTAATTTTTAATTATTAAAAGACTATGTGCTTGCATCTCTCAAAAACACACTCACTGTTATTTACTCTCATTCTTTGTATGTGTGTGTTTTGTATCAAATAGTAGCTTTTTTGTTAGTATAATTATATCTTTATTTTTTAACTAATTTTAGATACGTGCAACACAAAATATGCGAACATAGACATGCGTTATGGAAGCTTGTGAAGCAAGAAGGCGCCTTCATATTTATATCTGGCAACACTAAAAACATGCCGGACAACGTGCGGGATGCGTTCGTCGAGGATGTGTTTAATAAAGCCGGCGGTTTAAGTCTCGACGACTCCAGAGAAATGTTACGCAAAATGGAGAAAACAGGCAAATTGCAAGTGGAAACTTGGTGATTTACTTCTAATAAATAGCTTTATTTTTTTTTTGTTTTTAATGTACTATAAGATGTTGATTTGTAAATTGTTGATAAATAAATAAATAATAAGTTCAATATATAACCCTCCAATAACTGTGAAAGCCCACTGTTGGACATGTCCCTCTCCTATTGTAGAGCGCATTTATCTTAATACCCACAGATTGACGGTCGAAGTACCAGTCTATGTCTATCTGTTATATGCAGATATGGTGTTGACAAATTCACAAGACAAATAACTAGGAAATATATTATTTATTGTTAAAACGAATAAAGAAAATGTTATGTACTAAATTATGTTTAATTTATTATTCTATATGTGGTAGAGCCATGCTGCAGCTATATTAATAGTATAGTTATAGCAAGAATGGGTCGGCTCGACCGGGGAAAGCCCACGCTCTCACAGAATACCAGCGTAAAATAGCAGCTTAATGTTGCTGTGCTTCGTATGGTGAGTGTAGAGCACCCGAGACCCATTTTACTGGAAAAAAGGCATTCCTTAGTCCTCACGGGTGACATCGCATCTGCATTTTGATTTGCAAACGAAGACAGATGTAGATGTCTATGGGCCACAGCAACCACTTACCATCAGGTGGACTGTGTGCTCGTTTGTCACCCTTATTCTATAAAAAAATAATTCTTTCCTGTTCTTTTGATATGCCTTCATCATTCTGATACCTTTACTCCTACATAGTATGTTTGCGTTAACATCCATTGTATTCAAAAGGTGAATTAAAAAACCGTTATCATAGTAAGCTACTCGTTGTTGGCAACTTGACTTTAAAATCGTTTTAATTTGCAATAAATTGTTGCAAGAGGTAAACAGATTTACACCAGTTTTATAGAATAAGGGTGACATTCGAACACAGTTCACTTGATGGCAAACTATGACCTATCGACATCTACATCTACCCTCGATTAAGAATCAAAATGCAGATGCGTTACTACCGCAAAAACTTCCCAGCAAAAAGTGTCTCCGGTTTTCTACACTCATTATACGGAACACAGCAGTGCATTAAGTTGCTATTTTACGTTGGTATTCTGTGAGAGCCTGGTTCTGCCCCGATCGTAACGACCCGTAACGATTCGTGGTTGTATCAATATAACTGTAGCGTGGCTCTACCACGTGGAAAACACCACTTAACACAACAGATCAAGTTACTTTTTCGTCTGTTTCTATTGTGACCGCCAACTGTGTCTGAAACTATTACCATACCCCATGTTTTACCCCGATACAGCGGCATTAAAAAAGACGGGTGATATCTTTGTCTCTGTCTTTTGTCTAGTATATTATATGTATGTCCCTCTCAATGTCTACCCGCAACGTCCAGAGCTACTCGGCACACATAGTGTTCGGGGATAACAACGTCATCATAAAATAAATATAGCGGACAACGCGTTTATTCTTTATTAGTCCGTTACAGTCCCCTGCTCAACATGGGCCTCTTGGACAAATGGACTGGACTTTAGAATAAGGGTGACAAACAAGCGCACAGACCACCTGATGGTAAGTGGTTGCTGTGGCCCATAGACATCTTCAAATAAGAATCAAAATACAGATGCGTTGACATAATCGCAACGCTTGGCAAGCATATTTGCAACAGGACAGTTTTCTACTATCATAAACGCTTTAAAAAACTAAACTTATTTTCTATTAACGTTAACAACTGTGGAAAGTAAACTTCAGAAAGCTAACAAATTTCAAGTAGTTTCATTTAGTATGCAATATAGGTTCAATACTCTCATAGTAATTTATTTATTGTTTCATCGGACTAAACGAAACACAAATAAAAGGCATGCATACTTAATTAATCTTTAATTGAAAACTTATTACTTGAGACATTGACACATCTTAAATCCATTAGTTGAGTCATCACACATAACCACGTTTACTGGTGGGGCCGACGATGTGGTGGTGGTAGGTGGTGATCACGTGGGCGAGAGTCCCCACAGCTTGAGGTTCCCGGCGTCGCGTTTTCTCTCTGGTGGCTCCTTGTCTTCGCACGCAAACGCGACGAGGTACCGCGACGGATGCCACGCCACCGTGAAAGTAGCCGCTTGCACTGGGATTTCTGCTACCTTCTCGCCTAAATTATATAATATACATATTTATATATTATGTGCAAACTATGAAATTTGAACAGGTCTCTTATTGACATGAGCCTATCACAGTTTACCGTAAGTTGGCGATTACGGCAAATGTTGGCGATAAAATCCGGGATGTGGATGTATCGTGGACAAGGTCGAGTGTTCTACGTGATTGTTTACGTGACCAAACGACCTCAAAATGGCGGCGCTCCTCTACCCTCTCCCCTCTGCCGCGCGCGATGCTACACAATCCTCACTCTACGTAACGAATGAGAGCTAATAGTTTTCGGCTCACCAGATGTCGCTAGTTAACAGTAATGTGAAGTTTTTTGTTACACAATGTCACAGCCTAAGAAGAACATACAATCATCGCGTTTGATGTTGTTGGAAAAGACGACATAAACAATAAAACGCTACGGTTGTCCCCTACAGTAGAGGCGGCCTTAACAAAGGCGCGTAACGTGCTAAGTGATACAGACACTCGCACACGGACGTAAGATGCATTTTGATTTAATACGCGCGGCGCATTCATTTTTGTTTCGACGTAGGCTAATTTCACGAAGGTTGCTTCCGAGGCGTGCAAACTATTATGAACATTAGCGACATTGTAACTAGGTTTAAACTCGCAAGTATGCTATCAGAGAGTGCTCCTTCTGTTCTTGTACTATTATTTATTCTGTGGTAGTAGTTAGACTGTGACAATGTCATTTAATTGAGAAGTTAGTTTTAAATAAAAGTTCAGTTTTATTTATTGTTTATTTTATATATATATATATATATATATATATATATATATATATATATATATATAAGCACTAAAAAATATTGTATATACATATATAGATATAAATATACATTTACACACACATACATATAATATATCCAGCCGGAAAATACCCAGCAGACCAATGGCGGGCAGCATTAAGGCAAACCCTCCCTGCCTGCAACAAGAGATGCCCATATCCAGAAGTTACCGGCCAATATAAAATAAAGGGGAAGAAAAAAAAAACAGAAAAATAACATATTCAAGTAGACATCTTACATCCGTTGAATCAGTTGAACGTATTCTTATATACCTGTCTCTGTGTCACCGATATCAATGATGTGGTCTTCGCTGGCCGATGCCAGGAGCCTGCCGTCGAAGCTGAACGAAAGCGTTCGGACCGGCCATTCTAACCTGCAAGATGTGAAGTGTAGTGACATTAGTTTAGGAAACTATGGATAGGTGCAGTATACATAAAGCGTAGTGTTCGATTCTGAAGTTGGTTTTAACTCATACAATTAACATATTAGGGACATTCGCAATAAAACATGTCTGTCTTTACTATTCTTTGCAATTATTTCAAAAACACTAAAATATATCTATACAAATAAATAAAATTGAAGTGTCTGTCTCTGTTTATAACGGTAAAAACAGTTTTTTTTTTACTAAATGAATATGAAATGAAAATAACAAAACGATAATTTTTAAAACTTTTGTCTGTCTGTTTGTTCCGACTAATCTCCAAACTGGCTGGATGTATTGTGATGGGACTTTCACTGGCAGGTAGCTGATGTTATAAGTAGTAACTTAGGCTACTTATATTTTAGAAAAAGAATTAGGGTTCCGCCAAAAAAGATCTTAATGAATTTCACGCGGACGAAGTCGCGGGAAACAGCTTGTTAAAAACTCTACAAACAGTAACATCGCTAGTTAACATACGTCCCTACTATACAAACACTTCCACACTCCGATACCCATCCATTACAGTCTATATAAGTTCACTGCTGAATATAGGCCTCCCACATAGATTGCCTCATAGGGAAAATTTTGCCATAGTTGCTACGCTTGGCAGGCGAGTTGGCAACTGCAGTTTTTTATTATTTTGAGTCATTATCAGAAAAATGCTGCTGACCATATTCTGTTTTAGTTTCCCCCCGACGTCTATTAGGACACTCACGGGCCGATGTGGGGTAGTGGATATTCTTACACCGCCACTACACTCTGATATACATCCAGTCAACTTGGCTCCGCTAAAAGGAAAGTAGCACCGCTCTTCTACGTAAACAAAAATCTTTTTCATAGTCCATACGCTTCTGCACAGTTTGCCGAAGAGAGTGCATGTGGTCTATGATATTAAAACCTTATCGGTTGGTCCATGGAACTAGAGCATTTTCGACCAACTTTTTCTGGAAGATGGAAGTTGTCAAATCTGCGTGCGTGAAGGCGGAGTGTAGAGCGGGCCCCCGCTAGATGTAGTAACGATTTGGTAAGACATGCAGGAAGTCGATGGATGAAGGTGGCTCAGGACCGTGCTTTGTGGCATTATTTGGGGAATATCTTCATTCAACAGTAGATTTGTGAAGGCTTGTAATGATGATGATGACATACATTTCTCACCTTTCATTTGTGAAAGTGTTTTGAAGCAGTGCATAGTCCGAAGCGCTGTGTCAGTGCGTGTTGGCAAACTTCAGATCCTCTCGAATTATTTTTTAATGTATCTACTACTAAACATTTTATTCCTCAAAAATGTACAGTTTTAGAAGTCTGCATAGCCTATTTCTATTACTAAACAAAAGTGTATCCAAATTTATAATATCTCAAGTTCAATTGGACAGACGGTATAATAACAAGCGAGGGCAGCTTAGTCCCAAGGGAAAACAAGGCATCTCCAAGTCTCAACACATACTGATTTGTTCAGTTGTACTCTGAACGAATTCACAAAGGCCGCTTATTGTAAAATATCTTTAAGTTGTGCATAATATACCTATTTATGTTTGTCTAGTTTCTTAGTTAGTAACTGCACTATTGTACCTGTGATGATAGTTGTAAGTGGTAAAAAAAAAACAAAGAAGGCAAATTTTTTTGTTTGTAGTTGGTTGCTCGTGGGTTTACATACAGTAGACAACAAAAAAGTGAGTTTGTATGCCTATGTCTGTATCTCTGTGTTTGTGTCTGTATCTCTGTGTGTATATCTGAATATCTGTTTGTGCGTGTCTTTCGTCTCTTAATGACCCTGTGTTTCTCCCTCGTGTGTGTGACTACGTATTTAATTGTCCGTGTGTGTATGTGTGTATGTACGCGCGTGTAGGTGCGTACCTGGAGAAGACGCGCAGGCAGGCGAGCTCGTTGACGTCCCAGAGCGAGACGAGCGCGTCGGCGGAGCCGGTGGCGAAGTAGCGGCCCGTGGGGTCGTGCTCGATGCAGATGCACGTGCCCGGGTGCGCCTTCACCACCGTCTGCAGCTCCAGCGACGGGTAGCTGTGCACACACACAACCTCTCAACTCTCTACGCCGTAAACTATACGATTATAGGAGGCAACCGTTACCGTTATAGCCTATTAAAGTCACAGCTAAACATAGGCCTTCCGCATAGATTGCCTCATTGGGGAGATAGTTGCCATAGTTGCCACACTTGGCAAGCGGGTTGGCAACAGCAGTTTTGCATGCCGAGCGCAAAGCGTGTGGGTATGTTCTAATAACGCCTAAAAATCAAGATTCCAACGTTTTGTCGCATGAAATCGTATCCAGCAATCATATTATACATATAAATAATATAAAAAGCACATTGTTAGAAAGATAATTGATTGTTAAACTTATTAATATATTTTTTTAAATCGATTATTGCTATTTTTAAATAAAAAAGGGGTTTTAGTGGCTTATGGTGTGGATTTATCATGTCCCCTATGTATGGCTTGTAAACACGAAAACTTTTGAAAATATCAATTGTTTAACTCAATCTATTTTTTAATCTCTTCATCTATCATGTGGGAAGCCACTGAATGTAAATGGCAGTGTAATTTTGTTTTGTTTAGCTACAATTAGTTTTTTTCGGCTCCAAAATGGCGAAATTTTCGTTGATTTGGTAGCCTTGTATGTAAATTATTTCTGTAAATGGGTGAACTACAGCCACAGAGTAGTTTACTCAGTTCGGCGTCCATAGATAATATACTATATTTTGGGGTATCGGCGTCAGTCGCCGTCGTGAGTGGACATTGTTTCGGTTGTTTGCAGCGGCTCAAAAAGATCGCTGTACAAATACATAATATTCGAACAACCAAATTTCTTAAATACTTGATTATAATAATAATAAGAGATTTTTTTATTACAATATTTTAAAAGCACAGAATAAATAATAGTAGTACGTACTAAAAGTAAGGTAGTATAAATTTTTTTGTCTGGGTGAAATTTTCATGGTTTTTGAGGCGAGGTTTTCATGGCGGCCGCAATAAGTATCAATTTTTTCATCATGGGTGTCATTTTCATGGTTTTCGAGGGTGCTGAAGCCGATAGTGCTGTCGAAATGTAAATCCAAGGTGGAGGCCGCAATGGTATAAATTTTTTCATCATGGATGTCATTTTCATTGTTTTCGAGGGTGTTGAATCCGATAGTGCTGTCGAAATGTAAATCCAAGATGGCGGCTAAATTAGGTACCAATTTTTTCATCATGGGTGTCATTTTCATGGTTTTCGAGGGTGTTGAAGCCGATAGTGCTGTCGAAATGTATTTAAACTACTTTAAAAAAATTCCGTATAGTCAGTCATGCTATACGTAATTTTTTTAATGCGAAGGCATGCTCAATTGGATTTACCAAAATTTTATTTTATTTTGTTATTAGGATAACACTGCTACCATTTCCTGATTTGTGTCCCTCTGTCGCCTCTTACGACACCCACGGTATGATATGGGGTAGTGGATATTCATACACCACCACTACACGATAAAGAGGCGACACTGTCCCGAATTACGTTTTTTTATATGTATAAGAGGGAGCAAACGAGCGTGCGACTCACGTGATGGTAAGTGACTACTGCAGCCCCTGAACAACTCCAACACCGGGGGAACGGCAGACGTAAACTATCGACTACCAGCAACGATTTTTATAGACCGATATGACTTAGGGACATTCAAGAAAAGAGCCTACTCTTTTTTAAAAGGCCAGCAACGCATTTGCAGTTCCCCTGGTGTTGCAGTTGTCCATGGGCGGCGGTATTCCAAGATCGTTTGCCCCCCCCCCCCCCCCTTATATAAAAAAGGGTGCAATAAGGCACCCGCTACATATTCGTCGTGGGGTTACTCAATGAAATTTTAAAACTATTAAGTGACACGCGTCTCGAAATTGAAGAATAAAATACTGCAAATTGGCAGATGTTAATGGATAATTAAAGTCAGCCAAATAAAAGATAAGTAAAGCCAAATATCGAAATCGAACTAATTTTTTTTTTGAATTTTAATCGACTTGTCTCTTTATTTTTTAATTTCCACATAGACCCTCCGTAACTCCAAATGCAGTTGTCACGAACTTGAAGCGTTTTTCGGCGATAATTTTGATTCAATTTTTTTATAAAATAAGGTTGACAAACGAGCACACAGTCCACCTAATGATAAGGGGATGCTGTGACCCATAGCGACCCACGCGTTGTCACCTTCGAGGACTAAGATAGAATGCCTCGTTTCAGCAAAAAGGGTATCCGGTTCTCTGCACTTACCATACGAAACACAGCAGTATTTAGCTGCTATTTTACGCTGGTATTCTGTGAGTGTTGTCCTACCCTGGTCGAGCCGACCCAGTCATGCTACAAATATAATATAGCCGCAATGTGGCTCTACCACGTACAAGTTATATGATATGCATTATGTATTATGTACTTTACTCTAACATTTAAGTTACAAATTCAACAAAACGGAACATCTATATATATAATCACGTCGATCCTGTCTGATAGAGAAGCTTTTTTCTGAGAATGTTTCACCCTCAGGCCAGCAAAGAAAGACAAAGCACTGCGCACATTTTAGTAATGCAAAAACCAAGCCAAAATCATATTCAACTTATTATAACATCATGGTGTTAAACTAAACATTTACGGACTAATAAAGAAAGAAGAAATATGTGTGAGTGGGTGCCCAGAAGTAGAGCATGATTTCACTTGATATGATGCAGCGATCAGTGTCCTTTACATTTTCGGCGACTTCAATAAAAAAGAGGAGACTTGCCACACGCAATTCAACTGTATTTTTTTTTTCGTTTTCTTTTTTTGTATCGAAATTAATCATATTAGTTGTGCACCACCCATATCCAAAGAAATCGCTGAGATAAACCTATAGAAAATCAATTAAATAGGTACTAAAGTATAACTCAAGGCAATATCGGAAGTAAATACTTAATTCTTAAGGAATTATTTCTCAAAAATAATTTAAAATTTTGTACAACCGACTTCAATATGAATTATTAAGAATAACTCCAAAACTATTGGTCAGACCTTATTCAAATTAATATGGGACCACATGAGAAGCACCAACTTTCAAATATAAAAAGAATCATCAAAATCGGTTCACCCAGAAAAATTTATGAGGTACCTCCTCCTTTTTGAAGTCGGTAGAAAAATGCTTATAAATTGCTATGAACAATAATGGAGGAGCTGGGTTACACGAAACACTTATTGTGTTACACATAACATACAGTTTTTTTTAACCAATCAGGACTTCCACAACCAGGGCGGTACCACTTTGAAATGAGGTGAAATATTTGATAGATTTAAAGACGAGATCTTTCATCAAATAAATGATTATATATTAAGTGTTGTAACTAATTAGATTCTAAATTTTACTATTTTAAGGAGAAATTGTATTTAAGGTGAAAGCGCCACGGTAGCCCGCGAAATTCAAATTGTCTTACGTTTTTTGCATTTTGCAGGTCAGGGTCAGGTTGTATGTTAAACAAAATATGATTCGCGACCGTAACGAGTATGTGGTTATAGAATTATTACCATCAAAATCACCAATACAACCCTCCAAGTTCATATAATCCCTTTCAATGAGTTTTTCTGTAAATAGCCATACAATGGGATTATACGAACTTAGAGGGTTGTAATGGTGATTATAATGATTATAATTCTGTAAATAAATACTCGCGACGGTCGCGAATCATATTTTGTTAAACATAAAACCTGACACTGACCTGTAAATTGCAAAAAAACGTAAGAAAATTTAAATTTCACGGGCCACCCTGGCGCTTTCACTTTAAATACATAAATTTCAAATTATATTAACTAAAGTGTATATCTCCATATCATCCCGTGGGTGTCCTAGGTGACAGAGGAAAACAAATCAAGAGATGGGCAGCAGCGTTTTCCTAATAAGAACTTAAATAAAAAAGCAACTTTGGTAAATATCCCCCATATTATGAGGCACTCTATGGGGAAGGCATATATTCAGAAGTGGACTTTAATAGGCTGTAACGGAACGGAACCGAAAGTGTATTTTTCTTATAAATTACGAAACTACAAACAGACTTATACATTATTTGTTAGTACATTTAACTACTTATGTTGAATACTTACGTTAATATATGCACACAGCCCAATCCATTTGTCAAGTAAAACAAATCGGATGTGTTGTTCCAAGAGATTTCATTTACTTCAAAATTAAACTGCTCTTCTGTAACCTGCACACAATAGAGAATTGTACATCTTTAATAAGGTGGTAAAACTCCTTTTCTGCGAGTCTGCTTAAGTTGGTACGTTAGTAACTCCCCCTTAGCTCTGCCTTAGCAGTGTGTCCATTGAATGCATTCCTTTATGAAGAGTAAGGGTCACTACGGACTTCAATGAAGAGACAATGGTCTGATAACAACGTAATATGTTATGTGGTATTTACAATTATTATTGTATTATCTATCACCGGTGGCTTTTTTTAGCGCGAGTGACGTGCTGGCAAGATCGTGCTGAGTGTCTCCCACTGCCCGCACCGCACCGTCATCATCGCCGTTGGATTTCTTCTCCAACATGTATAGAGATTCAGTATAATTCAAGGCTATGAAACACATCTTCTTAGTGCTCAGAAGTAACAAACAATGCAACCGTAGAGTTCTTTATTTGAAGTTGGTAAGGTGTCCATGGACTACAGTACAGTCACTTACCATCAGGTGAATTTTGTAAGAAAATATAATTGTAATGGCTACATACCACTTTATATGTGCGTGTGTCTATAAAAGAGACCAAATCCTCCTTGTTCCCAACAGCTATGGTGCTGCCATTGGGTGACCATGCTATATTTATGTTTTCTCCTTTAGTTGATATGCTTGCGGCACATTTGTGAGACCTAAAAAATTATTAAAAATTGGTGATTTTGATTGACAAATGCACTTGTTTCATTGATATTTTAATTTTAATTCAATAAAAAACCTACCAGTTTCGCCTTATGACATCATACAGTACATAAGTAATAAGATTCTTTCTTAATTCTTTTCGTTCTTAAGTACACAAATGAAGTTGAAGTTTCACCAAATCACAACAATTGCAAATACAAATTATTAAAAATTGTAATAAATCATATAGTAACTTTGAGCCTTTAAATTCAAAATGGCAACCATTTTTACCAATTCTGAGCTAGTTCATTGGCAAGTTAGTTAAAAATCAATTGCAAAATTTGTACCAAGCATACAAATAAGAACAGTTCTAAGCTAAATTTAATGTTGCAAATCTGCACCCAGCTCTTTGGAAAGATAGTTCAATATCAATTAAATAATTTGCAAAGAGCAGACAATCAAAGAAAAAAGCTAGTGAGTAAAAAGTAAGATCAAATAGGTCTATTTAATTAAGCGAAGGACTTTTATATGAATAGATTAAATCTGCAATGGACCACTTACCTAGTATCCCAAATCCTAACTGATTTATCACCACTTGCAGTGCTTAGTAGATCTGAATGTGAAGCATGCCAACATAATTGGTCTACAGAGCCTGTGTGTCCACGGAAAACAAAGTCTTGTGCCTAATACCAGTCCATATTTAAAGATTAAAATTATATTTTGTAACAAATTATTGTAAACAATTATATGTGACCACTAGTACCAATGACATTACTTATTGCAATTTTGAGTGCTGATTTACCTTAAGATCAGCAATAAAGAAAACACTGTGAGACCTGCATGTTTGAAAAATAAAAATAAAATATTTTAAGATATGTGAAGTTCTACAACATGCATTGGGGTAGTGTGGTGGACATTTCCTTGCCCTTATCAGAAATGTGAGGAGGATAATATAGGCTGTAACTTAAATTTTAACTATAAGTGTGATAAACAATCATACAGTCCATCCAATGGCAAGTAGATGCTGTAACTCATTAACACTTATATCTGTCATCTATTACAAACCATAAAGGACAGATATATCACATGTGCACCTACCAAATGTATTGTCACTCTAAAATACTAAGATTGAAGGCCACATTATCAGTAGGCGATTCTCATCATTCACCACAAAACCAGCAGCTTTAAGCTACTATTACTATACTGGTATGTAAAAACTACTAATCAACACTATAGACTGCAGGCAAGCTAGGGAAGCCCTGCTGGAAATACAGCTCAGGCTCTTAATGAGATTGAACAAGCCACAGATCAGGATAGCAACAAATACTATTACAGGACATGGCTCCTTTAACAAACATTTATTTACTATAGGTGTTTCAAATAGTCCTCGGTGCATGGTCATGTGTTGCCAGCTTGTCCGTAGGTCGCTACATACAGGGCTAAACATCTCGGCACACCAGGATCAGTCCCTGAAGTTGCTCACAACATCAAAGGACAGTTGAACTTCTTCGAGGTGATTTCATGGCTTGAATAATCATAATATTCTTACCCACACGAAAATATGCGGTTAGACACGGAGTTGCGAAAAATAGTCCATTGTAAACTAACTAACTAAGCTACTATTTCATGCTGGTATTCTGTGCGGGCGTGATCCTTCCCCGCTCGAGCAGAATCATCCATGTTGCTGTTATATAAAATGATGTGGCTCTACGACGTATTTATGGTTAAAATAAAAGCTTCAATTAGGATCTCATCTAAATCTAATTGTGACTATCATGAAAGTATACTTTTTCGACAATAATCAATAAAACTAATCAATAACACAGTTAATAAAAGTTAAATCAGTCGATTGATAGCCATTTTCGTAGTCGGTTAAAAAGTAACCTAAAAACTTCAGAACTACACAATGAAATTTCAGAAATAATGTCACTTACCAGTCTACTTCTTTCTAATATGAATATTGCTACACTTTTATCAAATGATCCGGAGGCAAGCCGCCTTCCATCGCAGGACCAACCAACAGAATGAACTTTCGAAGTATGCGCTATATACTCTCGTACGACATTATGTGAGGCAAAATAACTTCGTAATTCTGCTAAATCCTCAATAGGAGTTTGTTTATTGTCTTTCATTTTATTTCTAACTTACATTCATAACCTTAAAATAACACTGTAAACAAAATAATAATCATAGATAAATAAAAACAATCAAATCTTGTCAAATTTGACAATTTTTTAAAAGCAAAGGCATCAATGCCCATAAAGCCTACTTTGACTTTTCTTCACAAAATTTGATCAGACAGTCCACCTGATAGTCAATTGCTTCCATTTGCAGTATATGATATAAATTACTATATATAATATAAATGACTGTAATAATGACACTAAATCTTGATAGAATATCATTTAGGATATTGTTGATGAGGATTCCAGTTTGAAAGACGCCCGAAAACAATAACTTACAACTCTGTGTAAAAAGTATCGGGAATATGTCAATAAAAAGACCCGCGTAAAAGAGGTCGTTCTAATTTTTTTACTACATGTGGGTAGCACTGTACTGATTTAGCGCGCAAAGTTTGAGCGGGATCTGTCATTTAATTTGTTTTAAACTACACTTTTTGTTGGTCATAGTTTTGAGCGTTTTGAGTTCTCGGCGATTTTTACAATGGAAAATATTGTTGAACAAAGAGTGTGCCTTAAATTTTGTGTTTCGAATGATATTTCATGTGGTGAATCACTAAAAATGTTGCGAAATACCTACGGCGAATCGTGTATATCGAAAACAAGGGCTTATGAATGGTATAAGGCTTTTAAAGAAGGCCGAGAAGTAGTAGTAGACTTGCCTCGTTCTGGTAAACCTTCAACCGCTACGACCAAAGAAAACATCGACAAAATCAAGAAGCTAGTGCTCGAAAATCGACGTATGAGTCTGAGAGAGTTGGCTAGTGAGGTGAACATATCTTTTAAGTCCGTCCACAATATTCTAATTGACATTTTAGACATGAAACGCGTCGCCGCTCGACTAGTTCCAAAAGAGCTCAATTTTGTTCAAAGAGCGCACCGAAAGCATGTCGCTGAAGACATGGTTTCCCGAGCTTCTACGGATCCGACCTTTATGAAACGTATAATAACTGGCGACGAGACATGGGTTTATGAGTACGACATGCAAACAAGCTAACAGTCTTCAGAATGGCGTCTTGAAAACGAGCCGAAACCCAAAAAACCGCGGCAAAGTCGCTCCAAAATCAAGGTGATGCTGACAGTTTTTTTTGACTACCGTGATGTGGTTCACTCCGAATTCCTTCCAAAGGGAGAAACAGTGAATAAAGAATATTATTTAGGCGTCATGAAGCGTTTGCCTGAGAGTATCCGCCGAAAACGTCCAGATTTGTGGCAACATGTCATGGATGCTGCACCATGATAATGCACCATCACACACAGCCATTATAGTGAAAGAGTTTTTAGCGAAAAATTCAACAAAAGTTCTCGACCAAGCACCGTATTCACCTGATATGGCTCCGTCTGACTTTTTTTTATTTCCCAAGTTAAAATTACCACTTCGAGGAAAACGTTTTGAGTCGATAGAAGCCATAAAAAAATTCGCTGAATGAGCTAAAGGCCATACCGCAAATAGCCTATGAAAAATGTATGGAAGACTGGGTGAAGCGTTGGAGATGTTGTATTGCAAGCGATGGGGCCTACTTTGAAGGCGATAAAATAAATTTAGATGAATAATTTGTATTTTTTGTTTTATTGACAAATTCCCGATATTTAGTACACAGAAAGTATAAACACTAAATTTATTTGAATATGCTAATAATTTAAAAAAAGTTAAATTTAAAACCTATTTATGTCCTGCTACTAAGCACAGAACTCTCATTTCTGAGAAGGTATAAAGAAATTAGTCCACAATGCTGTTTGGACTTTAGATATCGTTGAAGTATTTTATTATTCAGACATGCAAGTTTTTCACAATCTTTTCTCCAAATTTCTTTCAAAATTCCTCTGGGTAAGAGATTATGTATTTCTGATACATAATGTCTTACCAAGAGGAGTAGGCAGATACTAAGGACTTCCGTTTGACCTGATTCTGATACCTTACTCGCTTCTTGTATATCCGCAACATATCTATACATACTATTTATTTATTATTACATATTATTTATTTATTTTTAAATCATAGAACAGTATTTCTGTCTTTGGATCACACATAAATCTTAAAATCATAGAGATACTGGCAACACAGTGCAATTAGGAGACGCAAAAAAATGGTAGCATTATAGGCTAGTTGCTCGAAGGAATAAGTAAAATAAAAATATCCAAATAAAATAAATATCATATCTATTCCAATGAATTCGGACCGAATACTATCAAGCACATCACTATGAAAACTAGACGCACGATGTATCTTTGTACAAGCGCGCCAAAGAACAAAAAATACATGTTTTCATATTATTTACAAACTATTTTAAGTTTTGAAACAGAGTTTATTGGAAAATTACTTGATTCTGACATTTTGACATAAAGTTTTATATTAAAGAGGTATTCTAAATCATTCGGCAAATGTGTCGCTCGTGCAAGGTTATATCGATTAATTTAAGAATAATCTGTCAAATCGGTAATAACTCAGCGGCCGTACTATAATGCTAATATTTTATATAGCCAATTTGATCGGTAAACTTCATTAAAGGCCCAATCCCCCCCCCCCCCCCCTTAACATGGTAGCGGAGTAATATATTATAATATATTACTATACGAAATAATTAATATCCTACCCCAGGAGGGTACCAGCACCCGCGGTGACGGGGAAACCCTCGCTGAGCATCCACGCTCAAGCTACCCTACTCATCCTGAGCGTAGGTGCTCAGGCTGCTGTGGGGGGGGGGGGGAATTCCACTCGAGACTAAACCTGCTTGGGACAAATGGAGCAATAAGTCAAAGGCGCCCCCTGTCACGCTAACCGTGAATTTCTGCAACATCAGGGGAACTTCATTGAAACCTTAACGCCGACCACTACCATCTGGAGATGGCAAAGCTGGCCTTGCTATTTCTAAGTGATACACAGGTGTCCTCTCCAGCTGATACTTCGTATCTCTCCTACCCGAGGTACGAATTAGAACACTCCTTTGTGCCCCGGGCTGGAGTTTGCGTGTATATCAGAGAGGACATCTGTTTTCGACGCCTCGGTAGCCTTCAAGGCGTAGACAGCGACGACCATCCTCATGCCTACGGGTGCCTCTATAGGTACTATAACGGTAATGCCGACACAGACTGACTCATCGACCACGTCCAAATGACTGCAGACTCCGTGTCAAAACAGATCCCATCCGCAACGATCGTGATGCTTGGTGGTTTTAACGCCTACCATACTGAATGGCTTGGTTCTCGTTTAACCGATAATGCGGGTAGATTTGTTTATGACTTTGTTTTGGCATATGGTCTATCACAACTGGTTACCTCACCTATACGGATCCCAGATGTGGAAGATCATGTACCTTCCCTGTTGGACCTTCTGCTGACCTCTCATCCGGACGGATTTCAGGTCTCCGTCGATGTCCCTCTTGGCTCCTCGCACCATTGTCTGATCCGGAGTACGGTGCCACTCACGCTCCTATCGCGGTTGGGTTCTGCAGGTTGCCGCCGTGTTTGGCATTATAGGTCAGCCAATTGGAACTGGTTGCGATCTTTTTTTGCATCCTACCCTTGGAGGCGGGTTTGCATCTGGCCGGATGATCCCAGCGTTGTTGCTGATTCTGTCGCTGATGTGGTGCGACAGGGAATGGAACTATTTATTTCATCATCTGTGGTACCTATCGGAGGAAAAACCCAGCCATGATTTGGTCGCTCCTGCAAAATTGCATTACGCCACAAGCAATAGTGCTATCAGGCCTGGGCTCACGCATCGACGTCTCGGGATGCAAATACCAACGCTCTTAAAAAGAAGTACAAAACCGCCTCCAGGTCCTTCAAACGTGTCATTGTCAAGGCAAAGTCAGAGCACATCGGCAGAATCGGCGAGAAACTAGTTCGTCTTCCTTCGGGAACACGTGCATTCTGGTCTCTCGCCAAGCTTGTCCAAGGGAACTTCTGTCAGCCATCTCTCCCATCTCTGCACAGGGAGGACGACTCACTGGCCCATGCCGCAACGAACAAAGCCGATCTGCTGGGCTCTCTCTTTGCATCCAACTCAACTCTTGATGACAGGAGGAACACACCGCCGACTATCCCGCGGCGTGAGTGTTCCATGCAGGGTATGCTGTTTACCCAACGCTCGGTGCGCAGAGCACTCCTCTCCCTGGACGTCAACAAGTCAAGTGGGCCTGATGACGTCCCTCCTATTGTGCTGAGGACGTGTGCTCCAGAGTTGGCACTGGTTTTAACGCGTCTTTTCCAGTACTCCTACTCCCTAGGCGTAGTCCCGAAATCATAATAGACAGCTTTCGTGCACTCGATCTCTAAAAATGTAACCGCTCTGATGCGTCCAACTATAGACCTATCGCCATCACCTACTTGTTCTCTAAAATATTGGAGTCCATTATTAACAACCTTGAGAATCACCACCTGATTAGTGACCGTCAGTACGGTTTCCGTCGCGGTCACTCGGCTGATGATCTTCTGAGTTACCTAATTCATAAATGGGCGGAGGCAGTAGAGTTCAAGGAGGAGGCGTTGGCCGTTAGTTTGGACATAGCGAAAGCCATCGATCGGGTTTGGCACAAAGCGCTTCTTACGTAGCTTCCTTGCCATGGGCTTCCCGAGAAATTGTGCAATTGGATCATCAGTTTTCTTACAGATCGGAGCATCAAGGTCGTAGTAGACGGTGCATGCTCCGATTACAAGCCCATTAACGCTTGTGTTTCACAAGGTTGCGTGCTATTGCCAACGCTGTTTCTTCTGCATATCATTGACATGTTGAAAACCGGTAACATTCATTGATATACGGATGACAGCACTGGTGATGTTTTATACACCGGCCGTGGCAATATTTCTCAGGAAAACGTCGCCGAGTACCGGGTCAAACTTGTGTCTGAAGTCGACAGACTGGGGGCGACTAAATTTAGTCCAGTTCAATCCTCAGCAGACAAGTTTGCGCGTTTACCATTAAAAAAACACCCTTCGTCGTATCTCCTCAGTTTCAAGCACTCCCCTTGTTGCCTCAGCCAATATTGGAATCCTCGGCGTCAACATATCGAGTGACGTGCAGTTTCATGGTCACTTGGAAGAGGCCAAATTGGCCTCTAAAAAGCTTGGCGTGCTCAGCAGAGCGGGACAGTATTTTATGCCGGCATACCGCCTGCAACTTTACAAGGCGCAGGTTCGGCCGCACATGGAATACTGTTCCCATCTCTGGGCTGGGGCTTCCCAGTGCCAGGTCCTTCCATTTGATCGCATCAAGCGCAGAGCTGTTCGAATCGTCCGCGACTGAACTCTTTCCGATCGGCTTGACTCACTGGCACTGTGATGAGATGTTGCATCTCTTTGCGTATTTTATCGCATTTACACACACGCATTTGCACACTTTTCTTTTGCCACACAATTTTGCAGCAGTGGTAAATCAGCACTTAAACATTCAATTACCTAACAATTTAATTGGTATCGGCAGCTCCCATCACTATAAATGTACGCGCTTTACTCAAGTACCGTGAATCTGTGCAACTTACGGCATTGCTTAGCCCCTGAGCTACTTCAGCTATTAATTACTAATTACTGGTTCATAATTTATTTCGATATATTTGAAGATGATATTTAGAATATAGGGATTTATTTTGACGATTAGTATGAGAATATTCTTTTTTATATGCTCGTAAAAGTTCACTGCCTTTATCAGCCTCTTCCGTTGTAGGAACTTGGCAGATGAATTGACGATTGCAGGACCGACCCTTTTAACACTGTTCTCAATCGCTGTCGTAGATGTTTTAAATTTGGTATAAAAAGTTATACCAAAATCAATAGAAAGCTATAGAACTTTCTGGAATTTCTTATAGTCGCCTCTTACCCACGGGACGGAAGGAAATGGGACGATGAATTCTCTTAGCTAACATATCACATGACCATATATTCATATTTTATTTGTGCTCTAAAATAATGTTTTGTATGTTGCTCGTATGTTAAATTAAAAAAAAAACTCTTTCGATTTCAATTTTGGAGTACAATTAAGAAACGCTGTCAAGTTAACATTTTATTCAAGCTATAAAGCAGATTACGCAGTATCTATTCTATGTAAACTCTCCGCCAAACTTTAATCTGTGTTAAAAAATAGGCCATCGGTGAGAGCCAGAAAGTGAGCATAAACATCGCATGCAGGCATTTCTCCTGTAAAAGAAATAAAAAGAGTATTAAAATATTACATACATGTATACACACATGTATGCACAGACTAATATGATGCTTATGCATCATGTATTTTTATACCTTTACTAGGAATTTTATGGGATAAGGGTGACAAGCGAGCACACAATCCAACTGGTAAGTGGTCGCTGTGGCCCATAGATATCTAAATCTATCCTCGTTTGCGAATTAAAATGCAGATGCGTTATCAGCCGTGGTGGCGCTGTCGTCGCGCCACAAACGCCTCTTTTCCAGTAAAAAGGGTCTCCGGTTCTTTACACTTACCATACGAAACACAGCAGCATAAGCTGCTATTTTACGCTGGTATTCTGTAAGAGCGTGGTCCTTTCTCGGTCGAGCCGACCCATTCGTGCTCTACCACGTGTTAAGACTCCTTTTCAAAGTCCGTCTGAGTAGGTACAACTATCTCAACTATTTCTGCCGCCAAATAGCAGCGCTTCCACTGCTGAGTTCCGGTCTGAAGGGAATAGAGAGCCAGTATAATTACAGGCGGTGAGGCATTCCATCTTAGCACGCATCTGTAGGCTTCTTTATTTGAAGTCAGTTACAGGTATTTACGGGCTGCAGTAACCACTGACCACCAAGTGGACTGTAACTTCGCTTGTTACTTTTTCTTTTTAAATGTTTTAAAACAAATGTAACAGAAAGAAAACAAGGCGTTGCTTCGTTTATTAAGGTCTCTTGCCGGAAAATATTTTTAGATAGGTAACTTTTCAAAATTACGTGACGCTACCGTTAAAGCTAATCAAAGTCCACTGCTGAACACAGATCTCCCCATTGATTGCGTTATAAGAATGATATTAGCCATAGTTGCAAAGCATGGCGGGCGCGTTGAAAACCGCAGTGTAGCGGTGTTCTATAGGCCGAAAAATAGATGTAAAAAGAAGAACACAAACGCCACATAAGAATAGAACAAACGTTTTATTGTCCAAAATTGACACAGTTAAAGGAAAACGTTACAAATAGGTTGTATTATATTTAACTATCTAGGCTAGTAATTATGAGAAAATTATGGTTGCTTGCAAGTTCAGACATTTTTGTGTATTCTTAAGTGAGCAACTACGCAGAATAATAAATCATAGACCAGAGTGTATCTATGGGAGTTAACAACCCGCGAATTGCTGTCTCCACCTACAGCGCCCTCTAGAGCGTACTTTATATGATGTTATCGATATATCGACTCGGCACACGAATAGACCTACCAGGCCGAGTAATAATAGATCGAGGAGATATGCGCGCTACAGCAGTAGTTTTTTTTGAAGTTATTCGTCTTTTGGGGCGTTTGGGGAAAATTATGAGAGTAAATTATTTACGATGCGCGCGCCCACCGACAGATAAAAACGATAGCATGATGTTGTTACGATGCACGCGCACACTGACACTCAAAGCGATATCCTCATTGGATGACTGTCTCTCCAGTTTTCGTGGGAACTGATAACTATATTTAATCCATTGGAAGTTGCCAAACTAGGGGAAAATAATAACTATATTTAAGGTTGCGCGTACATAAGTACACACACACACGTTTTTTTTTGGTTGTTATTAGATAGACGCTGCTGCCCATCTCTCCTGATTTGTTTCTCTGTGTCACCGCTTACGACATTTATCTTACGTGCAAGTCTACTGCTGTACACAAGCCTCTCTCTTGTAGATAGGATTTTAAATCTCCACGCTTGTCAAGCGAATTGACAATCGCAAACAATCATTAAAATTAAATATTTTCATAAAAACGGCATAAGAGTGACATTTTTACAATTCAATTTGAAATTACATTTAGCCATTCGACCTACATGCTTTACTGGAGACAACTGAGGCGCAGTTGCTTATTAAAAGAATTTTAAATAAAAAGTTTTGTGCAACCGACTTCAATATAAATTATTAAGAATAACTCAAAAACTATTGATCAATTTTACATATATGGTACCACATGTGAAGCACCAGCTTTAAAATCAATCAGAAAAAAGTTCTGAGGTAACACACATTAAAAAAAACATACAGTCGAATTGAGTATCCTCTCCTTTTTGATGTCGGTAGAAAAATAGACCACGTTCCTGCGTTTAGCAGGAAACGAGCAACGGCGGAGCAATAGTAAGATTGAGCTCAACATGGTGAGTTGGCTTTTGGAAGAATCCACTTTTAAAGCGAATATGACAATTTATTTGGTCATATTTTGCAAATTATAAATGCTTACCGTATATGAACATTTAACTCTTGGTGGTGTTGAAATTACGTGTCCAACTTGCGTCCAACTTCGCTTCGGAACACAAAAATACTTATTGGTACTTCTACATAAAACTGTCGCAACGTTTTTGCCCAACATTCTAATGGCAATTATTTTAATGAAGTCAACGAACGATTAAACAACATGCCAGTTTGACAGAAAAAATTACGTAAGTATAAAAAAGCATTCAATCATTCTATGGAATAATTCAAACATGGAACTAAATTAAAAAGGTTACCACGTAGTGATTATATACTCCTTGGGTTCTACACTATAAAAATAGTGTCCGTTAAGGTAAGTTCCACTCTATGATAACTGGCATTGCTATTGAAATAAACATTTTTTGATTTTTTTGATTTAATGATATATCCGTTAACCTAGTAAATCTTAGACCATTCAACCAAATTTGTGTTAAATGGTCTAAAAGCAGCCCGGAGTCAGGAAGTTGGTATTATTTCACCCCCGGAAAGTACGTTAAGCGTTGATCCTACGCCTGATCTCTTTCCGGTCGTGTCAGAAAGCCGTCCCACCATCGGACTATGAGAGTGAAGGAATAGAAAGTGCATCTGTGCTTGCGCATACACTCTGGCACTATAAACCTGCGCATAGCACAGCATAGCGCAGATGGCTAGTCTCCGTTGAGACTAGTCACCGTGACCGAAATTCGATCTGGAAGACATTATTATTTATTTTTCTCTTTTGATTTTATTGCGCTGTTTAAAGGTAGCTGAAAGTACACACAAGCTGCAATACTCGTAGCTATTTACTATTTGGTGGTCTATTAGCCTATCTATATCTATTATTAGGTCGTTTATAAAAAAATAATATGTTATAGTATAACACCAGTTACCTAAAGTCACGTACGCAATACTCCAATAGGAAGTGGTCGCTGGCCAGAACCATGTTTCTCGACACTCATGTGTAAAAACTGTATTGTAATTGGGAACGTGCAAACAGACTCCGATAATCAATCTCAAGGCAAAGGAAACACAGGTTTGTGACAGGCACGTCACGCAGTCCTGCGATTCAAGTAAAAAGTATATAGGTCACAACTTTGTATAGCCTTTGTCCCATTGCATTTTAAAACTCTATTGTGTCGCAGGTCCAGGGTTCGAGCTTCGCCGTCGAAGAAAAAGAGGAGATCTCCCGCCATCCTATGTATTCAGTTCGGACGCGACTATCGCTTAAAGTTGTTCGAAACTTTAATAGATTTGGGTTTCGTTAGTTGTTCAGTGCATATGCGATATTATGGCGCGTCGAAGCTAAACCTTTACGTAAAGTGAAGACCTAAGTTAAATAGCGAATGCATTATTTGAAATTACACGAACATGCAACCTCGTCGAATGGATTTCTTCATCATCATTATCACCATGTAATGGTATCATAAGTCCACTGCTGAACATAGGCCTCCCCCATAGGGATATTTTGCCATAGTTGCTACTTGGCAGTCGCAATATTATTATTATTAAGTAGTTATCAGGAAGGTGCTGCTGCCCATATTCTGTTCCAGTGTCTTTTTGTCGTATATAACGACACGCAGGGGATGATATGGGGTAACGGTAACTTTGCTTTTTTTTAATAGTTTGTATTCTTGCAATTGATTTCAAAAATATACGCGCGGCGACAAGCGCACTCTGTTTTTTAATTCCATAAACCGGGTTCGATCTACGCCAGGACAATAAGGGCGCGTTACCACGACACGCACCCGCTACGCGTTTCAGCACCCGCGTCTAACTCGCTTTCAAATTTATTGCATATAATTTGAGTCTTATGACAAATCAATAAATCTGAAATTGTATAAAAAGCGCGTGTGCGGGGCGAGCGCGGGGCCGGCGCGGAGCGGGAACAAGGCGGGCGCGTGGCGTGTGCGGTTGATCGTCGATAAATGCAATTTCAGATTTATTGATTTGTCATAAGACTCAAATTATATGCAACTCAAAGCGAGTTAGACGCAAGTGCTGACGCGCGTGGCGGGTGCGTGTCGTCGAAACGCGCCCTAATAGAAAAATAATGAGAATGTTAATTGCCATTTTAAGTACTGATTTACCAAGTGCCCGGCGGTGAAAATATGTGAAGTTCGCTAACACGCATTTGGGCTAAAACCCTCTCGCTTTATGCCCAGGAGTAGGACGTACATATTATATAAGCTGCAACACTACCTAACTTTAGATAAATGGATAAAAAAAGAAACAAATATTCAACAATATAATTTATTATTCTTAATAAGTTAACAATATAATTTATTATTCTTAATAAGTGCATAAATATTAGATTAAAAAAAAAACAATATTTTACTATAAATATGAGATAAACCAATGACATTGGAAACAAAATCACAGTATTTCTATTATTAAGAAAAACAAATAGTAATTAACACTTCTGTCCAATAAGACTAAAAATTTGTATGTTAGCTTAAGTAAATAACCTTAAATCTATAAATAATCTATCAATGACTCTTAAATACCTATAACTTAACTATAAATGTTTAAGCTAAGGAGGGCTGCAAAACGCACTTTCTCATCATGTGTTCCAAAAAAATTACGATAAGAGAACACCAGTATATGCACCGCGCCTTTGATGTTACCGATTTAATTCGCATGTATACGTTTATTTACGTGTGCAAAATAGGCTCTTTGAAAAGCAGCGTTCATTCATCAGGTTATTTTTTATACTTTTTCTTTTTTATATTTAAGTAGCCATTTTAATTATTATTTACATTAGGTAAAATTTTTACTTATATTGTTGGGAACTTAACAATATAAATAAAAATTTTAATTACTTATTTTTTTTTTTGGAGTTTATGGCCTGGTATCTAGACCTTTAGGCCAAGTCTTAAGTATTTTTATTCGGTTTATTATAATTTCCCCAAATGTATAATTATCCTTCATAGTTCACTGCTTCACAATATGTTGATGCGTCACATTGTGCAGCCCTTGGGAGATTTTGACGGCAACTTGAGCCAGCAGACAGCTGACAGTTGGCGATGGTATCTGAAGGCGCATATGTAGACAAACAGCTTATCTTGAGAATCCATCACCATCAGAGCACTTGAATTACTTATTTAGGGCTTCAATCCTTGTTGCCCTATTCAAGTCCAACCCTTCTAAATTTATACATTAAGTCAGTAATACTTGATTTGGATAAAATTTTGTCTTACATTATCTAATTACAAAATTTAATCAAAATTTATCTAGATAAATTTCATCTCTAAGAAAATTGTAATTTTTTTTCTAACGCCCTCTACACTCTGTATCTGTAACTTCGTTAAGCTTTGCGAGAGAAAGTAAACATAATAAATTCGAATACCACTGACCACCATGACATCATCTCCATTGTCTGGTAGGTAAATCGTTATAAGTCAACTGTAGGAGATACCAGAAAAATGTCACACTAAGACAGATAAGGAAATAAACAAATAGAGAAACAGTCTTCACTATAATGCTCTCAATTAAAATATTACCCCTGAGTAGTACGAAAGAATATCATATAAAGTACAACCTAGTGTGCGACACCAACCAATCGTGGGTATAGGAAATCTTGCTTTAGAATACATCTGTATCCAAGAGTTAACTGGACATAGGCGGACAATTTGAGATCATAAATCGTATATTACCAAAGGAATCGTACAACAAAGTAACAAATTTGTTATGGGCACATCGACAGAACATATTATGTGACGAATAATTTAATCATCATTCTTCTCCTATCTCTTGGGACACAAGACATTCTAGTCGATATTCCATTCGAACCAAACGCTTTGCCTCGTCTTTCGTAAAACATACAGCAAGGGAGTGGAATAATTTGCCAGCATCTATCTTTCCTTCCAATTACAATGTGGGTGTCTTCAAGGCAAGAGTGAATAGGCTTTTGTTACGCTAAGACAGTGCAATGGGTTTCGTCACCCCTTGCCACTAGATGGGATCATAGTACTAAATAAACGTCAATCCGCATAACAGGCGGGTGAAACACGAAAGTTATATTGCCTACAAGATAAAATTATCTAATTGTAATACATTACATGTCTTTTTTGGATATGTACCACTCTTTTACCTATTTCTAACGCTTGTGGTTATTCCTACCTAGCACTTCTGTTTGGCTTGACAATTAACTTCAGGTAAAAAACGTAGTTGTGAAATGAACATGCAAACAAAATGCATAAACTCGTTCTGACTTTTTCACAGTAGCACTTAATATCAAAGACTTCTTTTAATTGAACTTCGCAAAAATTATTTCCTCTAAACTCTGCATACCTTTATAAAGACTGTACGTAGAACAACCTAAAATGGCCGCGCATTCACTTATAACAAAATTAAAACTGGGTGGAAACTTCTCTTTCAGCTCTGTATCAAATTTTTGATGCATATCCAAATTCTTTCCAATGGTCCTAGAGTTATAATGCCGTAACCAATACTTAAATTCTTTTTTCTCTAGTGGATGTTTAATCAATGGGTTCAAATTATTTTGGCTTTCGATCTTTTCTTTTTCAAATTTACTCATTTCTACAAAATCGTATTCATCTTCATCATTATCACTGGAATCATTTTCATTATTTCTTACATCTATCAGATTTCCATCGTAGTTAGTAAATTCTTGTATTTTGTTAGAAATTATTCTATCTATATCTGCATCATCGCTTATAGTCGGAACATTATCAATAGGGGTATCAACATTCAATTTAACATATAACTGTTTAATATCGTGCGTTTTTTCGTCAAAATCGGAATCATATTTGTTAGCATACGTATCTAAATCATCATATTGTTCAGAATTAGTATCATTCAAGTTATTTGTACAAAGTGTGTCGCTGATTACATCTGACTGCACAAAGTGGTCTGAATTATTGAGTGCTGAGTTACCAACATTTTCAATTTCACCGTTTGCATTGTGACTGAGTATTTGGGTTTCATTAAAAACTTCTTCATGATTATTATCTATGGCTTCGACAGCATGTGTAACTTGTTCCGACACTTTCGTAAGTTCATCACAGTCTAGATAATTGTAATATGCAGCAATCACATCGTTAACTTTCACATGCCCGTCATTCTGTTTTGCTATATTCATTGCTTTCTTTATTTTAGGTGCGATTTCTTCAGCTTCAGTGTTCACGTGTTCGTTTTTACGCTTTCGAGACACTCTTGCTTTGTTTTCTTTAGGCAATGTTATTTTATACTTATTGCAAGCTGACAAAATAAGTTCATTAATAATTTTTGCTTTGTCAAAATTATCTGGATCAAATTTAGTAAACGTATGACTACTTACAATATCAGAACCGTCAATCCTGCTATCACTAAAGTTTGCAATGCTGTGATCGAACGGCTCTATGACGGATTTATCTTCTTCATTTAAATCATCAAAATTATCATCAAATATATTAATATTTTCTTTTTCCTCTTCAAAATATTCTAGTTTTGTATTGTCGTCTATATCATTATCATCTTCATCAGTTTCAACTGGAGTAACATCAACGCATGAATCGTCGCCATTATCACTTTCACATGTTTTGTTTGTGGAACATTTTGTTATATGTTCTGCGGCTGGCGGCCGTGTTTTCAACCAATTTTTATTTTCACAATTTCTTACAAACACCATAGTAGCATTTCCTTTTTTTGAATCAAAATTTTTTCTTATAGCCGATTCTATTTTTTTATTCGAATTACTAACGCCTACAATTAAGTTTGTTGTATATTGATCAAAAAGTTTTAAATCTTCAGTAGCATATTTTAAAGAGTATTGAGTAAAGTCTTCACTCAACAAAAGCCTCAATTCATCATCCAGAACATAAGTTACTATAACATCTGTATATGTAGACATAGGAGTCAAACAAGCCTGAAATTCAGTTTTAGGTATAGGATTGATGTCATGTTTATAAGGTATTTTATTCAAAATGTCCATAGTAACTTCATCTCTTAGTTTAATAGGACGTTTGTTTCTTTCTTCCAAATGTTCCATAAGAACATAATCATCAACTTCTTGATTGTGTTGTCTGGCCATTGGCAAATAATGTTGGCACAACACAGTTTTTCTAAATTGTAAAAAACGAGTCCATTCTCGAAAGGAAAATAATCTATCTGTTATTTCTAAATAGATACCTAATTTGTGTGATTTTATATGATTTGCTTCATAATTAATTTTGTCAACCGCATCTGATATACGCACTTCGTAATCACAGTCCAAGCCAAAGCACATTTTTAACGCAACAAGAACATACGACATTGCAACATTTTCATAATCTGGAAGCCGTACTAAACAGTTTTTAGTTGCCCGATCTATATCAAGATAATCACATGGATGGTAAAGCATAAGAGAATAAACTAAATTCTTAAAGTCGTTTGGAAGGCACAGTTCTTTCATGTAGTTATTCATGATCTTTTTCAAATCTGGAACAAAGGGAAGACCAAGATCTAAAGCTTTAATACACGTCATAGCATAGGCTCTAATTGAATGTGAATTATAATCACTTTGACAGAGAATGAAGCTTTTCCAATGCGGTATCGCTTTTATTTCTATTTCTTTTGGTATATATTTGGTACAATTTAAAAAACTTAACCTACCCTCTTTAATAAATCTAAACAAATGCGACAACTGTATATCGCTTTTATCTAAATTTAAAGCAACATATAGTATAGCGAGTAATAAACCTTTTGTTACAATCTTGATGTCCTTTGTAAATTTTTCAGATTTAATTTTCTTTTTCTGAACTTCCGATTCTTCTTCTTGTTCACTGTTATCACTGTTGATCTGGGTTTTTGATATTTGAGAGATACTTAACCTATCATTTCCTGTTTTACTTTTCAATCTGGAAAAAAAATTCCATTATTTAAATGAATAAACAAGATAATGGAATCCAAAGCTATCACTGTAGTCTATCCTATAGGCATACGTCATTCATTAATTTTTAATGACCCAATCATTCAAGTATTGATTTGTCTACCAGGTCATTTGGGTCAATCATTCAAATGGATCATTTCGACTTTAAGTACTCTGTGATCTATGAGACCTGCTCGATAATGTCGGACGTTGGACATTAATATACTCTTTGGTCATAGGTTCTGTCAATCGTTGGGTCCCAAACATTCAAAAAATATAATTGCAATCATCAATACTTTGATGTGACCCAAGTCAGATGAACGAATCATTCACAATTGACAAATATCACCTGTCCTATTGGGTAAAGTTGTTCGCAACCTGAGCATGTTCAGAACAAGTATGCTTTATTGGATGTTGTGATGTAATATTGGGACCAACCTACCAGTAGCAGTTAATTGTGTTCTGATATATGCAAACAGAGATAACAGTATCTTAAAGAAAAATATTCGAGAAAGTTTTGTTTTGGAAAGTTTATCTGAATCTTTGAACTAATAAATCAGACAAATGAAAAAAACTTACTCTAGATCCTCTTTCACTTGAAATCGTTTTACATATCGTGTCCATATCCAGAGCACCTTCATTTTTACGCTGGGTTTAGCTCCAAGACTAATTAACTCATCCGTCAGACCAGTTAGTATAAAGTTATAGGCATGCCATTTGTGCCATTCCCCACTCACTGTAACAAAAGGTATAGATTATTATCTTTAAGATATTAAGGGTAACAAATGAGCATGCATTACCTGACGTTGGATACTATATCTATAGATCACAACACCTAGGGATAAAATAATTAAAAATTAAAAATTTGTACAACCGACGACAAAAAAGAATCATTGAAATCGGTTCACATAGAAAAATTTTTTAGAGGTAACACACATTACAAAAAACACAGTCGAATTGAGTACTGTCTCCTTTTTGAAGTCAGTAGAAAAAGGTAAACCATCTATTACAGCCTATAGAAGCCGACTGCTGAATATAGGCCTCCCCCATAGGGGCGATTTTGGCAGTATCTCCTGCTTTAGCTCCCTTTTTTTATAGGATAGGGTAACAAACGAGCACACAGTCCACCTGATGGTAAGTGGTTGCTGTGACCCATAGACATCTACATTTATCCTCAATGAAGAATCAAAATGCCATTTGAATTGAAGTTGATTGAGTTTACATTTATTGTATGTATGATATCTTTGCAGATTAAGAAATAATTTTGATGATTCTTTTTTTATTAAATAGGTTATACTTCAAGGATGGTCCCATATAAAATTGGAGAAAAAAATTCACTCCTAAGGGTAGCAAATAAATAACTTCTTATTTTAGCAATTTGTAGTCGGTTTTTACTTTTTGTTAAAAGTTATAATTAGCTTACAACATAACAGACTACTTAATTTGATTTTTTCTTAGCAAGATATACTTTTGATACAATGAGGGTGAAAAGGAAACAGTATAACATTTATCATCATGCAGGACATTATAAACGAATTGCTAAGTAGGACCATACACATTGTCATAAGTGAAAGAATTGGAAGAAATGTGTAAGTGATAGCTTTAGTTTTTACTTTCAATTCCATCTTTGACGATTGTAGAAAACCTTTTGCCTCCGACTAAAGCAAGGGTTCCATCAGCTAAATAAGTTTGTTCTACAATAGTTTCACGGACGTTGATATCCTGTGTACCACATTCAACACAATAATAGAATCCATCAATAAGATTCAAGTCCCTACTGCCGCAAACGTTACAGGGTTCGTTTTTCATATTTATTTGTCTGTATTTTGATATATCGTTAAATTAAATAATTTAAGCCTATCGTAAATTATGAACACTACAATTTTCCATTTTAATTAATCTTTTCCTAAAACTGAAAACTTTATACAACACTGCACAACACGTGAATAAAAATAATCATATTTAAATTTTACCACGAGCTTTCGTACAACCATAGATAAATAAATATATAGCCATAGACGTATATTTTTTTTGGAGCTTATGGCCTGGCATCTAGACCTTTAGGCCACCATAGACGTATATTCTAAGTCTCAGTGTGACCATCTTTAAAATACAGATCCTGCCTTGCTTTGGTTAAAAATCTGCCAAAATTCTGCCAAAGCCTGTAGTGAAAAATGCCTAAATACTGCCAACTTTATTTACCATTATCTAATTGTACTAAAGTAAAAAAAAAAAAACTTTTAAATGCTATATTTTTATTAATTTAAAATTAAACATCTTTCGTTTCTCACCAATGCCTTGTTTAACGTACAAGATAGACGCTACATGATTGTTTATATCTAAATCTGTTTCATGTTTTTGTCTTTATTAGATTTAGTTGACAGAACATTCTTTCGCATGTTGAATGCAAACATATTTTTGGAACGAAGTTCCTAATCGGACGGTACGAATTTGGCGAATGGGGACTAGGCGAGAAAAAGTGTTGGATCTTTTCAGTCACGACTCCTTCTGACGTAGTGTAGACGGCCTTGCGAGAAAGGGAAATGAAATAAAATCCATCTCCCTCGCACTTTTTATTATTTTGCCATGAAAGAAATATTATTTTATTTTAAATGACGCTTCATTTTTAGACGCTGATAATTCATTTATTTGTATTTGTTAATCAATAATATGATACGTTTATCAATAATAATACACTACGAAAGGAACTTCGTTCCAATCGAATTTTCCACGACACTCACGGATGTTTTTTTTTACGTTTACTAGCAGCGGCATGCTCCTTTAAAGCAGACAGCCGGGATGCCAGTTTGGATCTTATTATCTTTAGCTTTGAAGATCCACGATGAAAGTAAAGGACCTTACTCCACTCCTCTATATACGGTCTTTTATATTTTCGCTTCATAATCACCACCAATAATCACTATCGTCCACGAAATAACATTAACAAAATATCGCTAACAAGATATTGTCACCACGAAATCTAATGCGATAACAAATTAAAGTACGACTCTTCTATTCGAATACTAAGATTATCAACTTTACACCCATACTTTTAAAGTTGTTTATTGATAAAGATTATATATTAAAGATAAAGATATTGTCACCACGAAATCTAATGCGATAACAAATGAAAGTACGACTCTTCTATTCGAATACTAAGATTATCAACTTTACACCCATACTTTTAAAGTTGTTTATTGAATGTGTTACAAACATAATACTAGAAGTAGGAAATACCCCACATGCTGGCGAAGTACATTGGGTTGCCATTTTCAACAGTTTAAGTTGCCATAGTAAAATCTATTTTTAATACCCGAATACTGCCAAATACTGCCAGGTTTTATAAAACGTCTACCCGATCATGCTAGAGACTAAACTAAGAGACCAATCCTGCCAAAATGGCAGGAACCTGCCACATATGGTCACACTGCTAAGTCTATGTATGTACTATGTAGCTAGTAGCTACATAACACAGAACTCAATTCCTCTCTACCAAAAGAAGAACGGCTACCTACTTCATATTGAAAAACGAAAGCACGCGTTTATGAGTGTATATTAAAAGCGCTACGGTGGACACCCATATAAAACTTTTTAGCGAGATTTTCAAATCTTTGTATTCTGAACTATAAACTTTTTATGTAAGGCATATTCGAGTAATTTTGGCTCAAGCCTCACGAACGTAAGGGGTGAATTCCCATATATTTGAGAGGTTGCACCAAAATGTTTATATTTTATATGTGTATTTTATAATAGACTCATCCACTTTCCCCTAAATGCCCACTTAAAATCCCCTAGATTGAAACAAAATCCCCTAAATCGCGAGTGAGCAAGCGAAGCGAGCGAACTGACAACTGACCCCTCAATCCCATTCGTAGTTATTTTTTTATAAACCACCGGCTCCGTTGACTACACTTTGGTATTACTTTGGCTGAAAGGGGTGGATACCCCAATCGCTCCCTGTTAAGGAGATTTCTTTCAGAAATCATTCAATAATTTTTTTTAATTTTTAACCTTTAATATAAAAAAATGCGCACCTCAGGCGGGGGAAAAGGCGGGGAACTCAAAATTAGATTAGTTACTTACCTCCTAAGTGCTAATAAAAATGTTATAATTATGAGTCACTCATTGCAGCTTATATTATTAATGTGCTGTATTAAATATTTACAGTCGTCCAGAATGTCGAAAATTGCCGATTGATTTAATCATGTTTTCTAGCCATGGATTGCTGACAAATTATCTATTTCTGCTGCTAGATTACATTTCTCTGCTGACAAAAACATGAATACTATGCTAGTCCTTTAAATAATACCTATTTATAAACTGTAATAGGTCATAAAATTTATTTTTCCCCTGATATTTACTAAAATCATATTATTAGATGTATCGTTAGTTTCAGACGAGGACGCTGTTTAACATCTTAACAATGATTATTAGCAATATTTTTTCTTAATCATCCACAAGCATGTTTTTGATTGTCATTAATAATTTACTAATACATTTTTTATAATTTCTGTATTGATATTCTTAAATTTTTCAACTTATATTTAAGAAAGTTTTTAAACCCCCTAAGAAAATCTTTCCACTAGATTTTCCACCATGTTATCTTAAATCCACTAAATTTAGGGGAAAATCACCTAATCTAGCAACATTGATATTGATGCGTAGAAGTAGAACCAAAAAAATAAATATGTATTGTTATTTTTGTAGAGCGTAGAGGCAGCACCTATGTCTCTCTCTACGTTGTAGAGATTTGAGGCTGGCTTTTTACTATGGGATATAATATATATTATACCCCGAAATCGTAGATAGAGGATTGATACTATGTCTATGCCCGAAATATAAATTATATCCCGCGAACGCGTAGTGTTTCTATATAGTTTGTGATCCCGCGATTGGCTTGATAGTCTATGGATTTGATAGTGATTCGCCATTTAAGGTAGACAAAGGTCTCAGACCATACAGCCTAATCTGATTTGTATTTCCTTCACAAAACTCTTCAAATATGCTGATGAGTCACTTTGAGAATGGGAAGTTTTTGACGACAGTTTAACTCAGCGTACAGCTTATGATGGTAATATCTTAAGAGCCCTGAGCGAATAAAAAAAAAAAAACTGAGCTTTGTATCACCACCTTGTTACATCGTTTTCAAGCATAGTTTACATGCGTAGATATTTAATACAGAAAATTGCCCTAGTTACAATATTTAATATGCAATATTCAAACGAGAAAAATGAGCAGCTTTCCACCGGCCGTCAATTTTGCGCTAGAACTTTCGATCTCGAGCCAAAGAGAGAGAGAGGCAGATGCGATTTGCCAGTTACCGCAAATATGCCGGATCATTATACAGTCTATTCCGATGTGCATTTCATTTACTAAATTCTTCACATTGAATCATCTTGCGCATGCCCATGCACAACTTTATTTGACACCAAAGTCGATTAATTTCATGCTACGAGAAATAAATTTGCGAGAAAAATGGGAAGGTTAATGTTTACCTTTCTGAAATATAAGTTATATTTTATATTCATAAGATTAGAAATGAATAAAACAAACTAACAATATTCTTAAAAGTAGAAAATTTAAGAAATGTGCAATAAAAACTAATGAG